AATTTGGAATACATTTTTAGAAAACTTTTATGCTAAGTAGAAGCCATTCTATTTAGAGTACATTATAATCATTTAGAAAAATGCAAATTCTTCTAAAAAAAAAAAAAAAACACTTGCAATGGTTCTTAAAGGAAGCATATAATCCATAAAACACTTCAGGTGTTTTTTCAACTCAAAAGTACTTTTATCTTCTTCTTTTTTTTCAAACATCTTAGCTAATTAACCAAGGATCCATTTGGAAATACATTTTTAGAAAACTTTTATGTTAAGTAGAAGCCATTCTAAAGAGTACATTATAATTATTTAGAAAAATGCAAATTCTTCTTAAAAAAAAAAACATTTGCACTTCTTGAAGAAAGCACACAATTCAAAAAGTATTGCAGGTGTTTTTTCCACTCTAAAGTACTTTTAGCTTCTTTTTTTTTTAAAACACTAAAAGAAGTACTTGATGTGATCTAATAGTGTTTTTTATTATTTAAATGTATTTCTAAAAGGGTATCTAAGAGCAGCTCCAGCGGGAGCAACTGCTCGAGGGACAGGCTGCGGAACAGTGTCTGATTGCCAAAGGGAGGAAGTCCAGCGTTGGCTGGCGAGCGAGCCCGAGCAGGCCCGAGCTCCAGGCCGGTGGATTCCTGCTAGCCCGAGCGCCCGAGGGCTGTCTGACGTGGGCTGACGTCGTCGTCCTCTTCTTCGTCATCGTCGTCCTCTTCGCCCTCATCCGCGTCGTCGTCCTCGTCGGCGTCCTCCTCTTCTTCGTCTACGCTGTCGTCGGATTTGGACTCGGACTCGGACTGCGACTCGTACAACTCCAATTGCTCGGCGGTCAAAGGCTTAACTTCTTTTTCCTCCACAACTTCCTCCATAGCCTTCATCCTCTCAAAGCTCACACAAATTTGCAGAGAAAATCTCCTCTTTGTATTCTTGAGAAAACGAATTGGGATTGGATTTGGGAAAGTGAATGAGATAGAGGGAGGGAGGGACGAGAGAGGAGCTGCCAATTGGGATTGGATTGCAAATAAAATTATTTTATAAATAAATAAAATATTAATATTTTATTACCAATTACCGGGGTTATTCAAGTGCAACGGTGGAGATACAAAAGATGATTACTGTTTATTAACGGTAATTACTGTTCATGAGGTGAATTAAATAGTGAATAGCCAGGGGGAAGGGCTCCTACACTGGAAGTGCTCTAAACTTACGTATGCTTGAAAAAGAGAATTTAATTTGTTATACTTCATGAGAATGAGATTTTGAATTTATATGAGACTGTACGACTACTCGTCAACAGACTTAGCCTACAACGGAAAATTTGTCCAAGTAATTAATGGGCATTGACAGATTGTGACGGTTTCAAGTTGGATGGACCAAATTGGATGCAATTGAAAATATAATAAAAAGTCGAACTTTTACAATTTAAGAGTTATCATTCATTTTGACAATTATACAAAGGCGAGCGTTGCTACGAAAATTATAACACATAACCAAGGATATATCGCCTATTAGTATCTCTCACTTCGTGTGATATACCCTGGGTTGTACGACTACCCTATAATCCCTGCCAATAAAATTAGGTATGAACCATATGAAGAAGTTGTAGGGTTTCAAAGGAAACCTCGAGCTCATATAGGTTACAAGTTGAGAACAGGCGCCCAAGAAATTGATTACTTACAGGAAAAAAATCAAGTTCAGTTTATATATGGAAAAAAAAAAAAAAAAAAAAAAAGAACATTGTTACAACAACAGTAAATCAAGAAGATTTATTCAAGAAAAGCGGAAAAAAAAAAAGCAAATTACACATCTCTTGATACAGATCAACTAAAAGCATACTAAATATCATTCACCTAAAACATGACCCAAATTTTTGCTCAAAGAATGAAAAAGTAGCTAAAAGTGTATTGAGTTAGGCGATTTTCCTTACAAAGTTCTACATCACAGCTTCTGTCAGCCTCACCATGAAGCGATTCATCTTAGCCGCCTCCAGAACAATCCACGACGACTCAAACAACTCATGGAAGAACTCTGCACCGATCTCCTGAGCTGCATTTCTGAATGCGATTCCAAACGCATTTCCTTGAACCGCTCCAAGTCTAGGCTTCCCACAAACGCCAACTATCAACACCTTTTTAGGCTCTTGTGCCAAGCAAGCACAAACCAGAGGCTTCATTCGAGCTCCCTTCTCTCTCAGACCGTCCATCAGGAAATAGCAGAATTTTGTCAATGCCTGAGGGTACCCCAATAATTTTGCATCCAACGAGTCTTCGAGTTTCACCCACCGAAATTTCCTTCCACTTCTTATGCAGCCTCTCTTGGTTATTGCCATGCTTCCTTGCCTTAGAATTGCCCTCTGGATCTTTATTGCTTGTTGCATTCCTCCTTTCAGCTTATCGAGATTGTTCATTGACAATGCATCATAAGCCATCCCAAACTCTTTGGAAGCACAAGAACCATCTGATGTCACATACGATTCAAGCAGTGCTGTAACTCCATACACCACATCTGCTGCAGATACCCTTGATCTGTAACCATGGAGCCGCAAAAAGCTCCTGTAGTAGAAATCAGTGAGTCCATATTCGGGTAAAAACCGTTCAAACTCCTCTTTCATCAGCTGTTTCACTTCCGTATCCATGTACCTATATTTTTGCTGGCAATCCACAAGCGAAAATCCCATCCTTGCAAGAAGAAGCTTGAGCTTCTTTATCCCATTGTCACTCCACGTCTTCAATTTAGTAGCAATGTACGAAGAACAAAGCATCGAATCAAATAAATTCCACTCCTGCAACAACATTAGCCTAGGCTCATCTTCGTATGTAATTCTAGAAGCCTGGGGCACGCGAATCTTCGTGCCGTCTTTGAGAGTCACATTAGTCACTGCCTCCAAATTCCCGGAACTGTTAATGTACTGCTCAAGCTCCATCACCGCAGCTTGGTACCTCTCATCCGTTAACCTCTCGTGCAAAAACTGATCCGTTAACGAAACGCAAGCCAACCAAAGCAACTCATTTGTGTTCTTCCTCAAAGAATGTGATAAATCATACATCAAACACCCTGAAGGCTTACCATGAAAAGTACCCAAATGATAATATTTCCTCTTCAGGTCCCGGAAAAGCTTAACTGGGTCGCTCTCCCGATCCACCCTTCTTCGCTTTCTCGACCCGTCACCATTTTCTTCTTCTTCCTCCCCACTCTGGCTGTCATCACCATCACTGTCGCTATCCGATTCGGGATCAAACTCATCATCACTATTCAAATCACTCGCATTCGCCAAAGCGGACACATCCTCAATGTCATACGCCAAATCAGCCTGCCCCTCATCATCCAAAGTATAAAGCACAACCACACGATCATTCTGGTCGCTCAGATTATGCAAATGAATCGGACGGTGGCTGTCAACCACGAAAACACGAGCCTTGGGAGACAAATTGAGGAGCTTCTTCAGGTCCCGGTGGCAGCCCCAATTGATCAAAAGTATCGAAACCGGGTTTTCCGACGAAGAACACAGATCCGGCCCTGCGTACTTGTGAATCTCCTGAAACGAAGAAACAGGGTAGCAAGCGTATCGAACCGAATCGGATTCGAGGACATGGAAGATGATTTTGAGGGCGCAGAGCGAGTCCACATCTGAAGTCGATGGAAATATCAGAAGAGGAGATTGAGACGACGCCGTTGCGGACTCACGGAGCCTCCGGTAGAAGGACTCCACAGTTGTCTCTCTCACCATGAGTTTGAAGAGTTTAATCTCAATTGGGCATAGAGATTATCAATATTTCAAAGCAAAAATCGAAGCTTTCTTATAAATCCCAATTCAGCGAAACCCTAATTTCAGCTATTTTAATACAATTTCTCAATTGGGTTCAAAGATTGGAGGGGGCGTAGGAATGTGTAAATCTAGAAATAGAAGTGAAAAATGAAAGGGGTTTTCTGCGTGGAAAGAAATGGAAGTTGTAAATCGAAGTGAAATACCTGAGATTTGTACGGTTTCGAACACAGCAATCGGTTCCCTGTATTCGATTCAGCTACGGCGGACTGCCAATCCGAAATCGAGAGAGAGAGAGAGAGAGAGAGAGAGAGCTTTTCAGGTTTCAATTTTCAAAAATGAAAAATGTAATCTAACATTTTCGTCTGAGTTTCTTTAACGTAACTTTTTCAGCGAAATTTGAAGTTTGAAACGCGCGGCGAAATTTTGGCGCTCGATTGGGTTTTCTGGTTTGGTCTGTGGCGCGAGGATTGCATGCGAGCGCCCTCATGGTGGTTGTCTGATTGAACGGTCAGGATTGAGTATTGACTGTTTTGTCTTTTTTCTTGTCGGCGGCTCGGACTCTAATGCAAATTATTATGTAATAAAAAGAAATTAGTTGGAAACAATCATGCCTGTGCCCCACGGCACATGCGAGGTTTTTGCTCTCTACAAATTCAATAATGTAATCATAACATCTTTTTTATTTAGATGTTATCTTTTGGCTTTTCGGCTCTCTTTATCATTCTCTATCTTTAAAATCATGTTTGCATAATAATTACTTAATTCAAAATCGAATGTTAGTTGCACGCTTAAACTATTTATGATTAGTAGAGAGTATATATTTTTCAAAAGTGAGGGTAAAATAAGAAAAAATAGGACAAAAAGTTGACAATGAGGGTTCTCTTAATAGAATAGATTTGTTTTACATTAAAAAAAAATAGAAGCATTTTATGATATGAAAGTTATATTTTTTGTTGGGAGTTCTGAAAAAACGTATATAATTTAACTGTCGTCAAAAGAGTGGATTGAAATGTGTTTAGCCTTTAAGAAGCTTCACCGGAGATTAGTGTTACCTTTTTGAGTGCGAGATCTCACATTCACGCTTGGGCGCAAAAAAAAAAAAAAAAAAAAACTAAAATGATTTGATTAAAATTTTGGTAGAGGTGTTTTTTAAATGGTGATCTGCAGCAAAGCCTATAATCAATCATTTCGCAATAAAACGCAGCATACATATGTCCACAAGAGAATGCATCCCAAGAAAGCAAGACAAATATTGCTGGATGGTATATATTGAAATAGAATCAAAGAATCTGGTCTTTTCCAGGCATATATACTAAAGTTCAATTGGTAATTCAATCGCACAATAACACACCTAAAACAGATGACCAAAACCCCAAAAAGATTAAATCTTTATTAATACAAAAATAACACACAAGCTCTGATAGCTAAAAATGGATGCACTTTCTAGAAGGTACTCAGAGCCCTTAAGATATTTACAGGTCCAAACACCTTATAATTCACCCCACAAATTCGGAGATACGATTCAATCTCATTTTCTGCCCCATGGAAAGCAGCAACTCTGCAAAATTTCAGTCCGAAAAAGAAAACGAAATGAGACATAAAAACCAGTGTATGTATGAAAATGTGAGTAAAATGGTGACTAGTGACATACCTTGGCCCTGTCATTGGAACCCTGCTTCCTTGCATCTTGGTAAGACGGCTGAGAAGGAGTCCCTGGTACTTTTCCCGCCCTCTCCTCCCGCACTTTGTTGAATATATGAGTGAAACCATCAGCTGATGCCGGGTCGTTCTCATCCCACTCGCCAAATTTGGGAACAGCAGCACCTTTCTCAGGCTGCCACATAAAAACAGAAAACATACTCAAGACCAAGACTTGACAAAGATATTGCATCAGTATAAAAAGTTAACTACAGGAACAATCATTTCAAAAACAATGGGTTCTTACCGCAGCAAAACTTTTTCGAATGATGCTTGATCATCAGTCAAAACAAGTTTTTGGGACCATAACTTTTTACTGTAATTACGAATAACTATGGAAAAACACACAACAGCTTGACAAGTTTATATGGATATGAGGAAGAAAATTTACGCTTTCATCGCGAGGTTTGAGGCGGGATCTTGCAGGAGTGCCATGGCTACTTTCATTTGGCGCCTTTCCTTCCCAGGAGGGTGAATCTCTTCCTGAGACCCTTGCATTGCGATGGAGAGGTGAACGTTCAACGCTGTTCTCAGACCCACCACTTGGTCGTGCAGGTCTTCGATGGGTTTCACCAGAACTAACCCCACGGCCTCTGTTAGGTTGATGTGCTGATTCACCAGAAGTTCTGCGCTGGGCTGGGGAGTTGGCAAATCTTAGGTCATTATCCTCCCTGCTTCTTCTCCGTTCATGTATTGGTTTTTCCTGTTCCGGTCTAACTTTTGGAGGAGATGATGCAGATGTGTCAGAGAGGATGTCTGGATTCTCTTCGGGGTCATTTGGATTAATCATCTTTCCCCCAACACCAGTTCGACCCTTACGGGCCTTATCAAAATAGGCAGTGTAAGGAACACTTTCTTGGCTTTCCCAATTGCCAAACTTTGGTACATGTGAACGTTGCTGCCACAATAAGAAAATATTGTCATGCTAGTGCCTACTATTTCCATCAATCAATACATTTCAGTACATCAAGTAGCATTATATGATTTATATAAGACCTCTTCTATAAACAGGGTCATTGAATGGGTAAGTTAAAGTAAGCAGACGGAACCATTGAACAGAAACGAGGACCAAAATTTCAAACATGAATTGGACAAGCATGACAGGCTGTTCTATGTGACCACAACTTGACCTTGCTTAACTACATTACAACAAACTTTCAAATACGCACAGTTAGAACAGATCAGGGAAGAAAAGGACATTCAAAATCTATTGCAACTCCCTAAACCTTCTCAGAGCAACGCAAAAGAGATACTTCTTCAACAAGCTTTGCTTGCATTCAAAGAATGAGGTAACAGATGGTGACCACTCTTTTGTCAGGTGAGACAGTTATGCATTTTCTTGAAGGCATGCTTTGGACATCTTCCCTGAACATGCTTCTATTTCTATCATAAGCATCCTAAAAAAGCGAGGGCAGGAAATGGCTGGACGATTAACTGCCCATGGAAATTATTCAAATGAACATATGCCAAATGATATACCAAATGACACGTACAAATATACCACCTCTACGATTGTCCAACTGCCACAAGATTGTTTGGTTTAGACTGCATAAATATGCCTTTCTAGTTTCTAACAAAAATTACATCAACCCAAAGCAACATCAAACCCGAATTCCTTTAAATTCAATGGTATTATAGACTATCTTGGCACAACCAAGATCAAGCCAATAGTTTCAATTCTCTTTAAACGCAACAAATGAAGGATAGCTTATCCAACCTAGTCATGTTGTAACTCAACACTATAAAATTCATCGAAACAAATGAATTTCTCTACCCACATAATAAACAATGAAGACTCAGAAGCCAGAGAATTTCAAATGCGATTATGCAAACAAGAAGTAAGGCGAGAAAAATTTTATCCAAGAACATGTTATCAAACATATAACACACACAAGTTTTCAATTACCTCCTAGCACTAAAAATTTCAATAAAGATACCATAAAACATCAGAAGTTTCAACTTCCAAGAATCAAAACATCGGAGCCGTGTGCATCATTGTTTAAGCATAGTGCAACATCAACTGGACTACACTAGACCGCTCATCCCCATTACAATCTTCTGCTTCGTGACCCCCAAACAAGAACTCGGCAACACAAACTCAGTACAACTATTACGCAAAATAACAAAATCTAGGACTCCAGTTCACCCAAGCACAATTCTTTTCAATGTTAATTCAACCATATCAGCAAAAAAAATGCAAGAATTCTTCTTTCTTGTTCGATGTAATTATCGAACATATATCATATACACAAGCTGAAATGTAGATTAATAGGAATGATAAAAAGCACTCTGATTAAGCACCCTAAACTCCCCAATAACAGAACCCAGATCAATATCACATAAAGTATGCAACTTTACATTTCAACAAGCTTTCAAATCAAACGTTATTGCTCATCAGAAATTAAATTAGTAAACTTTCAATCCCAATTCATATTTTTCCATTCCAATTCCCTACATAGTAGAAATTTTCCAAAATTAGAATAAAAAATCAGATAAAGCTCATATTTTTCTGGAATTCAAAAAAATAAAGCACAAAAAACCAAAAAGATTGGGAACTTACTGCCATTTCTCTGTCCACCAGATTTAGAAAAACCCCAGGAAATTAATGTCAGGGTAGAACTCCTGGACCAAAACCCTCCACGAATATGGCAACCCCAAAAGCTCCTCCCCGAAACCCTTCAACGAAGCACCAAGAGAGAGAGGAATTATTTGAGAGACAGAGAGAGAGGATGAGGGTGTAGAAAGAGAAAGGAAATATTTCTAGAGGGTTTTATCAACCATTGACGGACGCTACCCGTCATGTTTGACCATTCTCTCTGTGTGAAAGTCTCTGCTTCTTCTCTGTTCAAAGTTCAAACATCTCTCTCAGCGAGTTAAGACTCCGTCTCTAGTTGCCATTTCTTCAATTTTACGTGAAATGCTATTGGTTTATAATATATGCTCTTTTTTATTATTCCCTGTATAATTCAAATTATATATTGCTACAGTTTTCACTCATCAAATTTTGATAGTGGCATATGTTTTACTGTTCTCTCGTTCAAGCTGTGCTAGTGAGAGTGGTTCATACATGCATGATTAATTGTGAACTTTTTAACTGGAATTTGGCATTTCTTTATCAGTTTGAAGCGATTTTACATTGTGTTAACGACAGTCGTTTATGCATAAATTCTAAAAAAGAGTATATAGCTTTGACTTGTTATAGGTCGGTACTGCATGGTGCTTATGGGCATTTGATTTTCATTGTTGTACGTGTTTTACTGCTCTTTAAAGTGAAATTATTGATAATAATACATACGTATCTAATTAATTGTTAAAGTTATTTTTAATGATGACTGAAATAATTAGCAAAAATGACATGATTACAAATTAGTTATGCAATGTGAAATTCATTCACACTAACATTGCATAATCAAGAGACTAACCATCACAAACAAATTGATAAAGAGTAACCTTAGCATTATTTTTAATTTTATAATTTAGTGCGTATGTGTTTTGTTGATTGTCCTTTTCTATTTTTTATCGATGTGTTTTATTGAGCGTCTTGTTTTTGTTAGGAAATTTAATTGTGCTCCATTTGGAGTGTCTACCGCGTTTAGTTTACGAAAAAGAAAATATATGGTCGTCGTTTTGGAGATAAACGTGGTTAGTTTTAGTGGCGGCTAACATTAAATTGTAATCGTGAAAGAGCCTCAACTGAAAATATCAAGGCTTGTTTGCTTGTCGGTTTCTGTGGAAACATTTGCTCGTGACTCCTCTTTTTTGTCTTCTTTTCAATTTTTTGGTTTAATTTTTTTAAAAGTCATATTATTGTTAATATATTAGAATTTTTAATAGTAGCTTATAATTTTCTTGATTTAGTTCACACTATAATCACTCTTTTGTTTGATTGAGAGTCTAAATTCTATATTATGGAAGTAAAATTTATCCGTAAAACGTTTAAATAATCTCAAGCTACTTCGATTATTATAAACTGACTTGAATTGAGTACACGCATATTTTAGTATATGGTGTGTCGAAATTAACTATTTATGTATATAATATTGAGAGTATTAATCTTGTGTCGGAGAAACAATTGACCTTATATATATTTATAGATAATTGGACTACTCTTTGTATTGTCAATTGATTTTACAGTGGGTATCAAAGCAGGTTGTCCCGTATGCGAAGCCCAACTGCCACACATGACTCACATCTTCCGATTTGTGTTGTCCACGTGCTAGGCTTGAAAATTTCTTATACGTGAGGGGGTGTATTGAAAGTATCAATCCCACATGGAAGAAATGAGAGACTTTACATGTGCTTATAAGTAATTGAACTTCTTCCCATATTACTAATTAATTTTATGGTAAAACCTTAGCTTTTTTCACTAGCGCAACCGTCTATGTGCTGACACAGTAAATGTTGCTAAGCGTGAGGTGAGATGCACTAGCTTAAATTAGGTGATTCATATTTTAATCCCATGGAAAGTTCTTCCAAAGACATAGTCCATAAACTGTCCATGGTCGCTTGCCGCTCAGTAGACATTATGCACTACCAATTTAATTACATTCTAAAATACAAAATTAAATATTGGTACTACAAAATACACAATTAAATTTGTATCTTAAGTTTTGCTTATATAAACTATAAATCGTATAAATAATACTTAACTAGGTAGGGTTATGAACTTCTGCGTCTTCTGGAAAGGCCAATTTGCCAACTAATTAAGTTTTAATTTAATTAACAACTGGGTTGTTTTATAAAAGAAGAGTAGGAATAAAGCCTTTATTCAAAACCCAACTTGTCAAAACCAAATGCCCAGGTTGACATGAAGTACTGATTTGGTACTGAGATGTTTTTATAAAAAGTGGGTATAAAAAAAAGTTACGCTCAAAATGATGTTTGGTAAACACTTAAAAACAACTTATTTTCACAGTTTTGAGTGAAAAAAAAGCTGAAAACGTGAAGCAGCAAACATGAGTTTATTCTTACAGCACAGCAGAAGTAGTTTTTTTTTTCAAAACACATCAATACCAAACCAGCCCGAAGAAACCTGGTTCAAAACTTGAAAGAAAACAACTTTATAGAGAAGAAAATATTATAGGCCTGACTGAGAAGAAATTATTCTTGCATGTACATTTTGAACGGATATGCAAGAGGACACAAAAGTCTTTACTCAAAAATCTCTCGTATGTAAGACTTACATATTTAAATTCACTTCAGACCCATACTAATGAGTCAAGGCTAATTGTGGGCTTCAAAACAACAAAAGCAACACTGCACCGATACATTCTCGCACTCTAAATTTGTCATCTTTGTATTGTCGGTGACTAGTCATTTGGATTAATGTTGATAATTTTGCTCCTTTGTTAGGTTGGCACTACTGACCAACCACATAATAAATGGTGCAGCTTTTGTATGATTGTAGAGGCCTTTTGCATAAAGATAGCCATTTGGAATAACGGCCAGATAATTGCCCAATCTTTTTCCCAATGATAGAAAAAAGAAGAGCACACTAATCTTTCATGAACTTTTCTTTCTCCCATCTCCCAACTCTTATGAAGTTTTTTTTTTTTTAAACAAACGATATTATCTACATTAAGGGGAGAGATGTGAGTTTTGTCTCATAATATGCTAGCAATAATGTAATTCAAATTCGCTTTTAGCGAGAATAGAACCAAAGACCTCTCACTTACAAGTGAAGAAGAATATCACTAGACCCTAGTATTAAGTGGTCACTCGTATTAAATACAAAACCCTCATTACTTTAATTAATTAATCCACTAGTTTATATTTCTTCATACACTTCGTATAGAAAGCCTGTTGTATACGATTATACTATACATACATGCTTAAGATGATTGTTGAAATATATTATACATTTTCAAGGAACAATGTTCAAACATCTCTGTGAACGAGTTAAGACTCCATCTCTAGTTGCCATTTCTTCAATTTTACATGAAATTCTATTGGTTGATAATATATGCTCTTTTTATTATCCCCTGTATAATTCAAATTATATATTGCTACATTTTTCGCTTATCAAATTTTGATAGTGGGATATGTTTTACTACTCTCATTCAATATGTGCTAGTAAGAATGGTTCATGCATGCATGAAATTTTACATTGTGGTAACGGCAATTGTTCATGCACGAATAATAAAAAAGAAGCATATTGCTTTGACAAGTTATAGGCTGGTGACACATAGTGGTTATGGGCATTGGTTTTTCAGTGCGCTATGTGTTTTACTACTCTTTAAAGCAGAGTTACCTATAATTGTCTATGCGTGTCTGATTGATTGTTGAATTCATTGTTCATGATGAGTGCAACAACTAGTAAAAATGAACATACAAAAATGACGTAGTTACAAGCTGTTGATGCAGTGTGAAAGGTTATTGACTACAATTTGAAATCCAACCACATCAACATAACATAATCAACGACTAACAATTACAAATATATTGATGACTAGTGATTTTAGCGTTTTTTTTTTTTTTTTTGGTATGTATGTGTTTTATCGATTGTCATTTTCTATTTTTGATCGATGTGTTTTATTGATCGTCTTGTTTCAGGGAATTTAATTGTGTCCATTTGGAGTCTCTAGACTCTCCACCCCGTTTAGTTTACAAAAAAGAAAGTTTTTGGTCGTCATTTGTTAAGGAGGTTTGAAGATAAACGTGGTTAGTATTAGTGCTGTCCTCTAAGTACGTGTCTACTACATGTCTCCTACATGTCTCATATGTAATTATTTGATATGTGTCCACTCACTTAACAAGAACTTAACACTGTTAAATTTTATTATTTTGTGTTTAAAAAAATATTATTTAGACTTAATCTCTTCCACAATCTTTTGACTAACTGAAATCGACGAGATTGACGCCACCAAGGCACCCACCGGCCTTGACGCCACCACTTCCGATCTTTTCACTGATGTTGGCGTCACTCCATCTCCTCTTTCTTTGTCTCCCTTTGTTTGCTTCTCCATCCTCCTCTATTTTGTCCCAAACAATCGCACTCTCTCCAACTGAAATTGACGACACCGACTTCGATTCGAAGGCCTGCAAGATTTCGACCACCTATGCGGTGGATCTGGTGGGAGATGGAAAAACAAACAGGAGAGACAAAAAAGGAGGACGAGGAGAGAGAATGGAGGACAGAGAGGTAAACGGAGATTGGAATTAAAAATGGCGCCGGCGACGGAAGATTGGCCTGAATCAGTGGAGACTCCGAGTAGGTGGTTGTCAATGGGTGCAGAATCAGTGTGTATTCTTACCAACGATGACCACGATACTTGATCTGAGGAAGCTAGGTCATGGCGATGTGGGGTGGTTGCCGATGATGTGTTGGATTGGGGCTAAGGAGGTCGTGGTATTGGAGGGGAGGAAGAAGGTCATGACTCACAGTGGTAGGTTTTTATTGTCGGAAATTGTTATTGGTACTCCAAACTTTTTATATTTAAAAATACACTTGTGAGAAATGTAGAATGAAATTTTTGGAATTCTAATAACACTTCCTTTATTTTATTGTTGATGTTTTTATTTTATTTTTCGGGAATTGTTATTGGCATTCCAAAAATCTTATTCTACACTTCAAACTTTCTATATTTGAAAAGAAAAATACACTTGTGAGAAATATAGAATGAGATTTTTAGAATGCTAATAACATTTCTCTATTTTTATATATTAAATTTAGCAGTATTAAGTTTTAGTTAAGCAGATGGACACATGTCAAGTAATTAGAGGTAAGACATGTATGAGACACGTACTTATGGGACAGCAGGCCCACGGCCCAACTGAAAATATCAAAGCTTGTTTGCTTGTCGGTTTCTGTGGAAACATTTTCTCACGACTCTTCTTTTTTGTCTTCTTCTCAATTTTTTGCTTTAATTTCTTTAAAAGTCATATTATTGTTAATATATTAGAATTTTTAATCGTAGCTTATAATTTTCTTGATTTAATTCACACTATAATCCCTCTTTTGTTTGATTGAGAGTCTAAGTTCTACATTATGGAAGTAAAATTTATGCGTAAAACGTTTAAATAATCTCGAGCTACTTCGATTATTATAAACGGATTTGAATTGGGTACACGTACATTTTAGTATATGGTGTGTTGAAATTAACTATTTATGTATAGAATGTTAAGAGTATTGATCTTGTATCGGAGAAACAAGTGATTTAACATAGGCTTATAGATAGTTGGACCACTCTTCGTATTGCCAATTAATTTTATGGTAGAATCTCAACTTTCTTTTGGGTATAGAGCAGGTTGTTCTGTGTGTGAAGTCCAATGGCCATATGACTCACGCCTTTCGTTTGGTGTTGTCCACGTTCTATGATTGAAAATTTCTCACACATGAGGGAGTGTATTGAAAGTATCAATCCCACATAGAAGAAATGAGAAACCTTACATATACTTATAAGTAGTTGAATTCCTTCTTATATTGTTAATTAATTTTATTGTAAAATCTCAACTTTTTTCATTAACTCAACTGTCTACGTGGTGACGCAGTATGTGTTGCTAAGCGTGAGGGGAGATGCACATGCTTAAATTAGGTGATTCATATTTTAATCCCGTAGAAAGTTCTTCCCAAGACAAAAGTCCATAAACTGTCCGTGGTAGCTGGTGCTTAGCAGACATTATGCACTACCAATTTAATTTCTAAAATACAAAATTAAATATTGGTACTACAAAATACACAATTAAATTTGTATCTTAAGTTTTGCTTATATAAACTATAAATCGTATAAATAATACTTAACTAGGTAGGGTTATGAACTTATGCGTCTTCTGGAAAGACCAATTTGCCAACTAATTAAGTTTTAATTTAATTAACAATTGGGTTGTTTTATAAAAGAAGAGCAGGACTAAAGTCTTTAGGTCATCTCCAACCGAAGGCTGGCCAGATGATTCATTTTAGCCCTCTGACCCTCTAAGATATTAATATTTTAATAAATAGTACATGGCCATATTTGCATCCGTCTTCAACCGAGAGCTATAGGGCTCGTTTTAGCCTGTCATAAAAAACCGTCTCCAACCGAGAGTCAAAGGGCTATAGGGCCAAACATAATTTATTACTTAAATTTAAATACTACAACAACTTAAATTCAAATCTAACAACAACTTAAATTTAAAAACTACAACTTATATTTAAAAACTGCAATGGTAACTAGCCCAAAAAACCAAAAAAATTAGAACTTAAATTTAATGAATGGTTTAGGTATTTGTAGAAAAAAAAATTAGAATTTTTAAGAATTAAAAAAAAAAAAAAAAAGGCCCAAAAAACCCCAAAAAAAAAAAAAAAGAATATAACGGCTAGTCAGCTAGCCGTTGGATTCAAATTTTTGTTTAAGCATTCCTGTCGATTATAACCGACATGATGCTCTATTTTCTAGCCAACCTCGGGCCGGATGGCTGGCTCCCTTCGCCCTTTGGACCTTTCTGATTCCGTGGGGCCCACGAGCTCTCTGCTCTAGCCCTTGGTTGAAGACGGTTTTTGGGCTATTTTTGACCCTCTGGCCCACTAGACTCTTCGGTTAGAGATGACCTTATTCAAAACTCAACTTGTCAAAACCAAATCCCCCAGTTTTTTTTTTTTTGGAAACTAAACCAAATGCCCAAGTTGACATGAAGAAACCTGGTTCAAAACTTGAAAGAAAACAGCTTTATAGAGAAGAAAGTATTCTAGGCCTGACTGTGAAGAAAGTACGCAAGAAAGTATTCTTGCATGTACACTTTGAACGGACATGCAAGAGGACACGAAAGTCTTTACTCAAAAATCTTTCATATGTAAGACTTACAGATTCAAATTCACTTCAGGCCCACACTAACGAGTCAAGCTAATTGTGGGCTTCAAAACAACAAAAGCAACACTGCACCGATACATTCTCGCAGTCTAAATTTGTCATCTTTGTATTGTAGGTGACTAGAGTCATTTGGATTAGATCATCTCCAACCGAAGGGTTCAGAGGGCCGAAAATAGCCCAAAAAATGTCTCCAACCGAGGGCTAGGCCAGAGGGCTTTGGAATCTGAGAGGGCCCCACGAATCCCAAAGGGCAAAAGGGCTAGAGGGCTGGCCTTTTTTTTTTTGCTTATGTTGGATTTCCTGTCAGTTATAACCGACAGGAATACATTGTATGACTAATACAAATGTATTACTATCGGTTATAACCGACAATAATACATTTATACTAAATAATACAAATGTATTCCTGTCAGTTATAACTGACATGAATTCTCTGAATATTTTTTTAACAGTTTTATTATTATTTTTTATTTACAAAAATTTTCCTATAACTTATATTTTTCATATATTCTTTTTTAAATTCTACGTTTTTCCTATAACTTTTATTTTACAAATTTGTTTCATATTTTTTTTTTAAATTTCATTTTTTCCTATAACTTCTATTTCACAAAATTTGTTTCATTTTATTTTAAATTCTATTTTTTTTCCTATAACTTCTATTTCACAAAATTTGTTTCATATTTTTTTTAATTCTATTTTTTTCTATAACTTCCTAAGCCATTATACAACATTAAATTAAATTAAGTAACATGAAACAATATTAACAACATTAACCAACATAAAAATTATACAACATAAAAAAAAACATTTAACAACATGAAACTTAAACAACATTTAAGTTGTAGTTTTTAAATAATAAATTATGTTTGGCCTTATGACCCTTTGGCTCTCGGTTGGAGACGATTTTTTGTGACAAGGCTAAAACGAGCCCTCTAGTCCTCTGACCCTCGGTTGGAGACGGATGCAAATATAGCCATGTACTATTCATTAAAATATTAATATCTTGAAAAATATTGGAGGACCAGAGGACTAAAACGAACCCTCTGACCAACCCTCGATTGGAGATGACCTTAATGTTGATAATTTTGCTCCTTAGTTAGGTTGGCACTAAATGACCAACCACATAATAAATGGTGCAGCTTTTGTATGATTGTAGAGGCCTTTTCCATAAAGATAGCCTTTTGGAATAACGGCCAGATAATTACCGCAATCTTTTTCCCAACGAGAGCGCACCAATCTTTCATTAACTTTTATTTCTCCCATCTCCCAACTCTTATGAAGTTTTTTTTTTTTTTTTTTTTTTTTCCTTTAAACAAACGATATTATCTATACTAAGGGAATAGAGGTGGGAATGTGGTTTAAATTCGTCTTTGACGAGAATAGAAGTTAAGATCTCTGACTTACAAGTGAAAATGAATACTATTAGACTGTAGTACTAAGTGGACATTCTTATGAAGTTTATATTAAATACAAAATCCTCATTACTTTAATTAATTAATCCTCTAGTTTATATTTCTTCATACACTTCGTATAGAAAGCCTGTTGTATACGATTGTACTATACATACATATGTTGTTGATATATTATACATTTTCAAGGAACAATGTTGTTGTTGTTTTTTTTTTTTTTTTCAAAAGGAACAATGTTGTTATATCATCATCTCATAGGACGAGAAAAATCAAAATGACAAATAATAAGTCATTCAGTCGCATTGAAATGTTTACGATCTGTTTGGAATCTCGGATCGAAAAAGTGATGTGGATGATAGTAACCAAAGAACCCCAGTTTTATGCTTGTGGGCACAGCATAGTTAGACCATTGGACATTTTAACAATGTGATGGACATGTCCAAATCCGCCGAAACTTCTACATGGACCCTCTTCTCTTGGATTTTCAAGGGAATACCAATATATGTGACAAATTTAGACCACAAAAAAATCATATATGTGACAAAATAGTGGCTTGGTTGCATGTCAAAGTATAGGTTAGTTTTACTTTTCTTAAAAAGGGACCAGCTGAGGTATTTTAGTCTTATTCTGACTATTATCGTATGATTTATCAACATTATAAATTAAACTTAAAATGTACCGTGTAAAATATAAACTTGAAATTTATCTCTAACCACTAACACATCCTATGATGTTTATGCTTCAGTAGCAAGAAGTTCGAACTTCTCAGTTCTCAGTCCTGACCAAAAAAAGTTCTCAGTTCTCTTCTCAATAGTCAAGGTCAAGCTGTTACAGTTTCTACCCACAATAGCAAGTACGGTCAATATCCTCTCTCCCACCTCTTCCCCACCCCTCTGCTAAGAGCTACAGGACAAAGAAAATAAGAAAACCATCTTTATTTATTTATTTATTTATTTGTGTGTGCCTTCAATTACACTTCAAGTTCTTTGCTTTTGACTGTGCAAAACACTTTACTTTTGCAAATAAACCAATTTACACCGCTTAGTCAGATAAAAGGTCACCAACATTAACAAATTGGGTTTCTGCTGAAAGCGTCTTCCTTTCTGACATTTTCCTAAAAATGCATAGATCTGTGTCCTCAAACCAAGCTGCTTTTCAAGACCATGGATCTATGACTCTCCCTGCTCAGAAATGAAGCTGCTTTTCTGAGAAGCAGTTCCAATTCCATCACAAGCCGAGCAAAAAAGAAGCAGATAAAGATGATTCAGCTGTTGTTCGTAGTGCTTTTCGCCGAGGGGGTAGTGGCGTTCCTTATGCTGGTGAAAATTGGGCCGTTGAGGGAGCTGGTGATAAAGAGCTTGGATCAGGTAAAAATGGGCAAGGGTCCAGCCACGGTAAAAACGATTGCAGGGACCATGTCTGTGATTTTAATCTCGAGCTTTATCAGCATTGTGAAGATCCAGAACAAAGGTGTGAAGCTTGGGACTATGTCGCCGATGGATCAGGTTCTGTGGAGGACCCACCTGCTTGAAGCTTCATTGATGGGTGTGTTTTCTGAATCCTGCTCTTTTTTTTTCCTGGTAGTTTTGATTGCTGTGTTTTCTTACTGTTTAGGGATTCTTCTCTTAGAACTTGATGAATGATTTGCATTTCTAAGTTATGAGTTTTGTGTGTTAGTTTAGAATTCTGATTGAGTGTGGAGTATATGAGTACAGCAAGAAAAAGTAGAAGTTGTGTAACAAAATAAGTTTTGTTGGGTTCTGTTGAGAAAAAAGGATTGTTAGATGGATGAATCGCTCACGAAAAGGGGAACCTATTGATTCTCTCCCAATTAGTTGGACCTTGATTCACCCTGCGCTCTACAGATGTACCATCCAGTGATTACGTGAATTGAAAGAATGGCTATGAAAACTTGGTATTGATTCGTTGGAGTACGTATAAAAAGATAGGCCTGAATAAGCCGGTTCTTTTGATCAGTGAAATGATAGAATCTGGTAACAAAAGGTCTAGGAATTCGTCTACTAGTACGTTTTCAATACAGTTGTAGATTTATACGTGAGAATCTCTCATTAGAATGATAAAGCTTGATCCTATTCCAACCTAGCAGTGGGAACAGCAAAGGCATAAGAACAAGGAAACTGAAGCTTATACAACAACAATGCCTTGTCCCACATTCCCACTAAGTGGGGTCGGCTGTATGAATCCTAGAATGCCACTGCGCTCGGTTTTGTGCTAGTCTTCCCAGTAATTGAAGCTTATACTCTTCTAAATTATAATATAATTTGGTCTTGACTTGAAATCATAGTAGCTCTCAAGATGATATCTTGTTTGTTTGCGAAAATAATCTCGTTTGGGGGGATGGGGGAAAGAATGTCAATTAAATGTTTGAATACATACTTGTTTTCTTTTCTTTTCCTTTTGCGTTCTCTTCTCTAACTAAAATTTAAGCTGTAGTTGGTAGGTAAGAATTTTATCCTATACTTCCGCTTTATTAACCATCAGTCGAAATACAAAAGTTAAAATATATGAATTTTTGTTCTTTCTACATTTTGTAACTTGAATCCAACATCTTAAGATGTAAAATTTTGCCTTCAAAATGCATACGCTTTGGTAGTACGTTTGGATTTTCCTGTTTCAGTGAAATTAATTCCATTGAATTTTCTCATTCGCCAGTAAACACCTGTTAAAGTTATATCACTGTTTTTCATCTAATTTCTCTGCACTAGCTTAATGATAATCAAGTATTTCCATGCATTTATCTTCTAGGATGTGATATGTATCATACTTATCTATGTGCCGCACAAGGAGTACTTCGGTGCAAAATCAAATTACATTGACTTGAATCATGAAGTTCGCCTAAGTTTTATCCTCATAATTTACAGTTTGACCATCATCAATGTAAGGAACTAAATCAGGGATTGTATGATGACACGATATTATCCATTCATTAGTAGAAATTTCACTTTGGCTTCATAAAACCACCATCTGTCATATATGTGATTGGCTACAGGTTTCTTTCCTGTTCTCTTTTATGGTTAAATGATGCAAACCTGGCTTATGGTTGGACAGTTGGTGCATTATGTCCTTACATGGGAAGTTAGTAATCTGGTTTACGAGCCGCTCTTCATTCCTTGTGGTTGCTGCTAGTCCAGCCTCACTGGCCTTGTACACTCAGCAGTCACTTATCATGTTCTGAAGAAGACGCATTTACTTTTGCCCAAAAAGGGAATGCTTAAGTTGATTATATGGTCTTCTTGGGCGAGTGGAAGTAGTGATTCGTGTACGGTGTCTGCTCTGTGATTAATGTCGGAACTTCTGTTTGTATTCCAGTGAATGATCCTTTCTATTCCTGATTGCCCGCATTTGGTCGTACTTGCAGGTTTTACCCTATTTCTTGGATTCATAATTGATCGGATGCACCATTATCTCAGTAAGCTAATTGGATTGAGGAGTAGTGTGGGAGCTTCAAAAGAAGAACTTGACAGGCTTCAAAAAGAGACGATGCAACTTAAAAAACAGGAAGAGAAAGCTTCCCAAGAAGTCAAGCAGCTGCAAGCCAAAATCTCAACTCTCACAGAGGATTTGAAGAAGCTGAAATTGGAATGTGCGGAGAAGGATAAAAGCATTGAAACTGCCGAATGCCATGTTGCTTCCCTCCAGAAACAGGCTGCAGATCTACTTCTCGAATATGATCGCTTGTTGGAAGACAACCAAAATCTTCAGAATCAGTCTCTAGGTTATAGGAGCTGAGGTAATTTTGAAACACAGCCGCAGCTTGAACTTTGAGAATGATTTTGCTTACAGGTGATGTTCTGGTCTAACATCTCCTGCCGGAAATGGTCATTATTTGGTCCTTCATGACGGAAGGGTGGCAGAGTATCTCATTTTTCCCGGTGGTGTTGAAAATTTTGTAATTCTCATGAAGTTAGAATATTCACTCTGTCCATCTTTTTGCTTTAGTTCAAGATGCATTTGAATTTGTTAAAGCAATTTGATAAATTTTCTTTGCTCGAAGGAATGTTCGAATACATGTCAATAGCTGCAGTACCCAAAACTTCATCAAAATCAAGCCTTTTAAAGATATATGCATGTGTGGATTTGCCCAACTACAAAAGCCCTACTTGTGAACATGCTGAAAGTGCACTCACAAGAGACCAAATCGGGTTCAAAGCCACTGCTCTGCATATCTACCAGCATTTCGAGTGCACGCCCTGCGAAACCATTTTGAGCAAAGCCGGATATCAAAGCACCCCAAGAAATAGTATTCTTTTAAGGCATCATATCCAACAGCCGAGAAGCTAGCTCAAGATGTCCGTTCTTCGTACATGTATGCACAGGGCTGGTTTGAACCACCACATCCATACGAAGACCTCTCCGATTCATAAACCCATGAACGGAAGTTTCCAAAAACAAAAAACCCATGAACGGAAAGACTCAGTCTCAAGTCCCCAAGCTTTGCACAAGCCTGCACCAACCCCATCAAATTCGATTCCCTCACGTTGCATGCCTCTAAACATCTCAACTGCTTCTACTGGCTTCCCAATCTGTGTTCAAGTCCAAAAGACACATATCCTGATGCGTATCATATCTAAATTCTCTGGAAAAGCGTTACTAATTTAGTTAGTATCTTATTTTCTATTCAAATATAGGGTATTGCTAGAGTTTGAATAGAAAATGTGGGGTATTATTGGAACTTGGGTGGGACTCTTGTCCCACATTTCCCATACACATTGTCTACTTCATCTTTATAAGTGAGTTCACTCACTTATTGTTTGAAAAGAATTGAGCCAAAACCATGGAACTTGGGTATTGGGATATATAAGCAGGTACATACATCTCTTCTGAAATGATAAGCATGAACAATCATTATATATATGGCAGTAATATCAAAATAAACTCGAGAATACGCGATGGAACACTTTACGGGCGGAAACAATATCCCCAATACGTGCGTACGATGCCATGAGTCGAGCACTGGAGCTTCTATCGGCGGCAATACTAATCAATATTATAAGAGCATGGACATTCGCTATGGAGGTCTTATCGGTGCAGGATAAGAGGAGAGCTCTGAGGGGGGTTAGCCATGGAAGTAACTGCATCTATGCATGGGAAGCTAAAACTTCAAACTCTGCTAATTGCTTAACAGGTTACTGTTTACAGCTGTTGCAAAAAGAGGGATGATTGTTTCCTACTTTTTTTTTTTTTTTTTTTTTTTTTTTTTTTGCAATTTCTTTGATTGTCTTCGACATATGTGTATTAACACTCATTTGTATTTCTCACACACCTTCTTAATTTCTAGCGGTCTTGATCGAATGAATTGAAGAGAATCAAATGACAGATATTAATAAGGGGAATGTAATGATTGTTTCCTACTTTTTTTTTTTTTTTTTTTTTTTTGCAATTTCTTTGATTGTCTTCGACATATGTGTATTAACACTCATTTGTATTTCTCACACACCTTCTTAATTTCTAGCGGTCTTGATCGAATGAATTGAAGAGAATCAATTGACAGATATTAATAAGGGGAATGTAAAAAGTTAAAAAAGGGTGTGTGAATATCACACCCTATATTAAAAATTTCAATTCATGAGATTTGAGCTCCTTATTTATGAAACTTAAAATTGAGACCTCTTATTTAGAGCATTTTCACCCGTTGGTGGAAGCCAAGGGTAAACGTAACAATGTTGCCCTTTAACACAAAAAATCAAATCCAGCAATCCAAGGGCAAGTGGTGGGTCAACCACTGCCAACCCACAAGCCAGACCTACAATAATACTATGTGCAAATTCATTAGACCGTAGTATTAAGTGAAAATTCTTACAATAGTACTAGAGCTCTGGTGGTAGCCAAGAGAAGGTTGAAATGTCTCTATGAGTTTTTTGGCTTCCAAAAAAGTGGACTGTCGTAACCAAGCCATCATCTGATCTCATTTTAAAAAGAAAAAAAAAATTCTTGCAACATAAACTATTTTGCCATTATATTATCTAAATTAATTGTTTTTACATTGGAATGAGACATTTGGGATTTTGGTGATGGCAATTTGGATAAAAATTTGCATATGGTGTTTGAACTTTTTTTTTTAATTTTTTTTATATGGTGTTTGAACTATCGAAGGCAAATTTGTTCTTGACCAAGCCATAAATTCTGTTTGGCTTAAATTTGTTTGGTTGGAATTAGGAATTCAAACTTGATGCAGGGAGATAGAAACTAGAAAGGGTTCTTAGAACTTGAATCTCCTTGGTGCTCTCGGCTCTCCTCCTGTTTATAGACACATGACTCAAAAGAGTTTTCAGTTTCTTTGCTCCCAAGCAACCCTCGATTCCTTTGAGCATAAACTTTGGAGAATTATTTAGTTTGACTTTTCTTCTCATCAGTCTTATGTGAATATTACAGCTACCAACATTCTGTGAAGCCACAGCTCTGCACGCAGAACAAGCTCTTTGTGAGTACTCGGATCAAGCCATGGATGATCAATCAGACGGCGGAGAAGGCAACGCCGGAAAAAACCCGAAGCTGCCGGTCCCTGCGAAGCGCAACATCCTCATCACAAGCGCCTTGCCCTATGTCACCAACATCCCTCGCCTTGGCACCATCAGTGGCTGTAAGTATAATTTCCGCTCTCTCGTTGCTTGTTTTGGTTTCGGTTTGTATTATCTACTCAGATAATATTTGGCACCATTTTTGGTAAGGGGTTCGAGACCTCTTGGCACCATTCTTACAAGCAAGTTTGCCTCAAAAAATAAAAAATCAAAGAAAACTTTGCTCGTTACATGTATCCAGAAACTTTTTTCTTTCATAAATTTCATGACTAGTTTGTGCATATGTGTGAGACTTTGACGTTTTATGAAAGATTAGCGTGATGCAGGCGTTGGAAGTGCGGATGTTTACGCTCGATACTGTCGCCTTCGAGGGTACATTGTGATATGTATATGTGGGACTGATGAGTATGGGACTGCAACTGAGACAAAAGCCAAGGACGAAAATTGTACTCCGTAGAAAATTAGTGACAAGTTGTAACAAAAGTTTGGAGGTTAAGCTTTTTCGGATAGTGAATAGCAGTATGAACTTTTTACTAATTATGGAGCTTGATTGGTTTTGTAGATATCATGAAATTCATAAACAGGTTTACGAGTGGTTCGATATAAGTTTTGATAAATTTGGACGCACGCCAACTCCTCAACATACTGAAATTTGCCAATCTATTTTCAAGAAACTTATGGAGAACGGATACTTTTCTGAAAACACAACTCAGCAGGTATATACGCATCACTTTCCTGCTTGCTTAAGTGAAAATTTCATTTCTAAATGGTTTTGAATTTCGACATCCGGCTGTTTTGTGAAACATGCGATCATTTCTTGGCTGATTGGCTGGTGGAAGGCACTTTCCTAATGCTAGACTGCGGTTATGATTCTGCATGAGGAGATCAGTGTGATAAGTGTGGAAAGCTGTTGAATCCAACTGAGCTTAAGGATCCTAGATGTAAATGTTCAGCCTTTGAGATTTCATATTTCATTACAGTTAATTTTGTTAGGATTTAGTCGAAAATACTAACATCTTCTTTCCTGGTTTTGCACTTGAAACTGTAATCAACACGTATGTCAGGGACGGCCATATATACATAAGATGAACCACTTATTTCTAAAGCTTCCATTGCTGAAGGAAAAATTGGACGAATTTATCAATGACCAGTCAGTTGCAGGATCTTGGAGCCTGAACGCTATACAAACTACATATGCATGGGTTAGAGAAGGACTTAAGTGGCACTGTACCACGAGGGACCTTAAGTGGGGTGTTCCGGTTCCACTTGAAAATTTTGAGGATAAGGTTAGCACTTAATTTATGTAACTATTGCTGATTTTCCCTTTGTTAAAGTTCAGTTGTTCACTAGAAATTTACACGCTGGTAAACTTTTTTCTTTCCCAATATTTTGATATGCTTAGGTTTTTCATGTATGGTTTGATGCGCCTATCGGTTATATATCCATCACTTCTTGCTACATGCCCGATTGGGAGAAGTGGTGGAAGAACCGAGAAAATGTTGAGCTGTACCAATTCATGGACAAGGACAATGTCCCATTCCACACAGTAACGGTTTCATCTCTTCTACCTGAACTTTGTAACTTTATAACTTTGTATTTTGTTCCCGAAATGTTTAGTTGCAGTACACTTTGATTCCAGGTTATGTTTCCATGTATGCTTCTTGGAACCGGAGAGAATTGGACACTGATGAAGAGCATTAGTGTTACAGAATACAGGATGCATGAAACAGGTAAGTGCGCCTGAGAATATGAGATGATCTTCACAAAAGTTTGATTATTTAAAGTTTCAACTCATACTTCTATTTCTATATTTTCATTTTCTATCATTGATTTATGCAGTGAAGTTTTCCAAGAGTAGGGGAATAAGAATTTTCAGCAATGATGTGCAAGAAACAAACATTCCCTCGGAAGTGTGGCGATATTATTTGCTAGCTAACCGGCCAGAGGTAATTTGTTTTTTTTCTGCTGCTGCTGGTGATTTTGCAGTTCTTAGGTTGTACTTGGTTATTACTTAATTATCTGTTTCCTTAACCATGATTGGGTCTGAGACACGTTTTTTATGTGGGCAGACTTACAAGTAAAACTAAAAGCTGAGTTGCTGAATAATTTGGGAAATTTCATTAACCGAGTATTGAGCTTCATTGCAAAACCTCAAGGTCAGTAATCTGCCAAACCAAGAACTTTGAGGATCTTGATTTGCTTGTGTTTTTAAGATAAGTTCGAAACTTTTAATCACGTTTCTGTTTTTACTTGTTATATCATGTATCACATTCTTTTTTTGTTCTTCAATCACCATACCACAGTCAAATTGCATTTTGGCATTCATGTAAACTTTCACCTTTTCCTGCAGGACAAGGATATGGATCTATTATTCCTGACGGTTCTGGGGCGGAATCACATTCCTTGACGAAAATATTGGCGGAGAGAATCAGTATATACGTTGATCAATACATAGAAGCAATGGAGAAGGTTATTTATATCTGAAAACTAGTCTCTCAATTCCTTTCTGCACTATCTTGTTTTACTAAGAAGTTACATTATATCACAATCGGCGACATGTATAGGTCAAGCTAAAGCAAGCACTGAAAATTGCAATGAGCGTATCCAGTGAAGGCAATGCATACTTACAGGTAAGCTCATAAAATCTCAGTTTTTCTTCTTTGAGTTATCAATCGTTCAAGAATAAAGGTTTCCAATATCTAATGCAGGAGAGCAAGTTCTGGTGACTTTACAAACAGGATCAAGCTTCCTGCTCTCTTGTCATCAAAACTTCTGCAGGACTCATTTACCTTCTCGCGTGCTTGCTGGAACCTTTCATGCCTTCATTTTCTCTCAAGGTGGGGAAAATATGTCTTGCATCGATTATGATTAAGGACAAACAAAATACTTCGCTCAATATTTACCACCGTGGTATTAATTTTTGCTTTTCATGTCCAACAGGTGCTAAAGCAGCTCAATTTGCCAACCGAAAATCAGTTTTCGCTTTGCGATAAGGATGTTGAAAGGGCAAGAAAGCCTTGGGAAATATTACCTGCTGGTCACAAGATTAGGACACCAGAGCCTTCGTTCAAAGAATTGGTAATACATATGTATAATCTTCTATATCCGTCTTTTCGGTTTTCGAAGTGTAATATTATTGTTTTCGACATCTTGTTTCGCAGAAAGATGAAGATGTGGAGTTCTTTAGGATTTCACAGAAAGATGAAGATGTGGAGTTCTTTAGGAAGAAGTTTTTTGGAAGTCAAGCTGAAAGGGTTGCTAAGGGAGAAGCTGAAAGGGTTGCTAAGGGAGAAGCTGAAGCAAAGAAAATGGCTGAGATATTGGATGAAACAAAAAATTGACTTCTGAATTGGACAATATGTTCGCAATCTACTATACATAAAGGAAATGAGATTTTCTAGTATCCACCGATGTATAATATACACTATATTTGTAGCCATTGAACTTTTTGCAGCATGTTTAAGACTCTATTTAATCAGTGCATGTCATACAACGGAACATAATAAAATTTAAAAAAAGATTTTTATAGTATACACTTCAACACTTAATTTCACCCAATGCATGTCACGCACCGCACTTCTCTTAAGAAAAAGAAGGGGAAACGAAGAGGGTTAAAATCACCAGGCAAATAAAAAGAGAGGAAACTCAAAACGAGGGGTGTGGTAAAACTTGGAACCACTGGCAGAACAACTCGGGAAATAAAATAGATGAAAAAGAAACGCCGTCTGTGGGAATCGAACCCACGACCACACGGTTAAAAGCCGTGCGCTCTACCGGCTGAGCTAAGACGGCCTTTGCGACTATACTTCTCAAAGTTATATATTTAGACGGATTCGTATGAGTTTACTTTACCTCCAATTCTGGACTCCCTATTGCTCGAATCCAGTAAACCAACAGCTCCAACTCCAGTGCCTCCACAACAATGGCGGAAATCACAGAACCTCTACTCCCTCCCAACGAAATCCCACAAACATCCAAACCGCAAGAGCCAGCCGATGACTTCGATCCCAAAACGATGCGTAAAACCAAGCCAGGACTCAAGCGTCTGATCATCACCGTCTCGGTCCTCTTCTCCTTCATCCTAGGTCCTCTCTCTCTCTCTCTCTCTCTCTCTCTCTACAATTTCTGTTTGCTGATTTCTAACTTGATTTTGCTTGCAGGAATCCCATTGATATACAAATCCGTGGAAATCTACCGCGCGCCGTTGCCATTTCGGGAAATCGATTTCCTCTCAGCTGAAATTGATTCCAATCCGCTTCTGTTCCCATGTCGTTTCCAAGCAATCTTCATCGGCTTCGACTGGGAATCCTCCATTACCACTCTGGAATCTTCCATCCTAACCAAAATGACCAAATTTACCTCCCAGACGCCTCAATGCGGCACCTGTAGCCCCAACCACACCGTCTCGGCAGTCCTAGACTCCGATTCCAGCTGTCTGCAATCCCAAACCGGTCCGTGTTCGACGAAATGCGGCGCCTTTAAGGCCATTGATTTCGACGGCGCCGATGAGGCGGTGGATGAGGCTCTGGAGTCTGTGTTTGGAGGTTGTTCGGGTTCTGGTTCGGGTGGAGAGGTGTATAGTGTGGTGGTGGTGAATAGGGAACATGAGGTGAGAGCAGTGGTGGGGAAGTACAGGCACGCTTGGATTGCCGGCAGGGTTTCGGAGGCGGAGGCGGTGTCGAGGGCAGCGGAGATGTTTGTCAAAGTGTTTGTGAATGGCGGGAAGGAGGAAGGTTTGATTCAGGGGGAGTTTATGCCTGTTGGGGCTGATGGAATGGTTGTTCTTTCGTTTAATTTGCTGAATGCAGACCCTCGTGATTGGGTTTACGATTGGTATGGAGCTTCTTCATATGCTCATTGTTTCATAAATTATGGTGCTTTGACTACGAATGATGATTTTGTTATCTGAATTGTGGTAAAATTTAAGTTGCATTGTCTGATAGATCATAGGTGATTATCGTTTTGTATGTGCTTCAATATGTGTCGGAGTTAGCTCCAAATAGTTATCTTGAAGTATGCTCATTGTGCATTTGGTTAAACCTGCAGGGACTTTCAAACTGTAGACAAGACGTTGTTGGCCCCTATTATCGAGGCTATGAAACCTGTAGCAAACATAAGCGTGGAAAGTCAGGTCATCGATTTTATGTTTCTTTTGAAAATGATTATACCATCAAATTTTGTGCTATTAGATAATCTAGGTTGTCATCTTATCACATTGTGATCTGACTTTGTTGTTCTTTCCCTTGGGCAGGTGTTATATCATACGCCGAAGTCCTCATTGTCTTACTGGGATGACAAGTGGGAGAGCTACATCTTTAGTACCAAGGATCTACCTTTCTTTGTATGCTTCATAAGCCTTGCACTCCTAATGATATGATTGTTTACTAGAGAAAGAATCATATTACTTCTTACATTTTCTTTAAATTCCAAAGTGTGTGAGCAAAAACATTAAACGACCATTAGTAAGCATGTGTACATATATACCTATGTGTATTTGTATACAAACTTCTTAATGCTGAATTACTGCTATTATTATGTTAACAGTCTCTGATAAATTCCTTAGGTGAATTCAAATGAGTGGCACTTGGATACATCCATTGCAGCTGGTGGGAGGTCAAAGATGTTGCACTTTGTGGTGTATATTTCTAACTCAATCCTTTTTGCACTGCATATTTGTATTTCGCCTTCCTCTTTCACAACTCCCAAAGTCAGTTTTTCCTTTCTTCCTTTCCCCCCTTTCAATATGTTCATTTGCCCCTTCAATTTGTTGTCAGATATATACCGTCCGAAAAGGAGTGCCCTCTTCTCCTGCAGCTTCCAGATGGAGAGATTTCTAAGACAAATAGTTTTATATCTCCAGTTAGTTATCATGCCTTCACCATCTTTTAAATCTAGTGCCCTCTGATTTTGTCTAGTGAAATATTTTGGTCTGACCAATTTTAAGGATTGCCCTGTTACAGATGTGGGGAGGCGTTATTGTTTTGAACCCCCAATCCTGTCAGAAGGATCCAGAAAGTAATCATCCTGCTAAGCATACAATTTTGCATCAGGTTAGGTGCTTTTTATTTAATAATGTGTCCAACCGTATGACTTGTCCATTTTTTTTAATACGGATTGTTACATTAAAAGTTCAAGTGCATCAAATTTTAACCACCTCTTTGAAATATTTCAAAAATTTTACTTGATTTTCTGCCATGTTGAATTGAAAGCTCAGCATAGAAAATTTTTACTGAAGAAGAATATTGGAATACCAACTGGAGGAGATTAGATCAGTGGTATTGGCAACATCACCCGTCTAATTTCTTTTACTCTGGTTCCCTAATTTTGATATTTAAGATGTTAAGGGCATGTGTAAGCTAGTTGTACTTGTACATCTTAAGTTTCCTAATTCTATCCTTTGAGGCACATGAACAAAATTATTTCTCTAGAAAATGTTCAAAGCACACAAGGAAATGAATCATTTGCGCACTATGAAACAATGAATAGTATATATAAAAGACTATTGGTGTATGATAAGCAATATGCAAATGCACACACAATTTATACATGCAGAAATACATAGGAAAATACATAATAGAATCTGTATGTAAGACATGTGAAGTAAGTCGATCAGGATCCCATCAACTTGCTAATCAACAGTCCCGTCATAAAGGTAAGTGATTGACTTTTGTATTAATTACATACATAGATGGAATGTTAGAGTGCAGAAACTTTAATATTACTGGCATTATTATGATTACTTCAGTTTTGTTATATGCTATTTCTTTTTCTGGATGTCATTTTTTTTGTTTGAGCCCATCAATTTTAGAAGTTGGCTGGCCACAGCGGATATGATTTTCAGATTTTATTTTCTATTCTTTTGTTCACTTAAGTTTAAAAGAATATTATTTTTTAACTCAAAATGACTAGAAGTCAATATTCTATCACCACAGATGGGTTCTAGTTAATTTCTCAGAGATTGATGCATGCACATTTTGAAACAGGATCTTCAGAAGGTTTTTGAAGTTTTCATGGGGCAGTTCCGGCAACTTTTTGGTTTTAAATCTGATGACGTATATGTTGGTGCTTCAGGCACATCCAGCCTTTTAACTAGCGAGAGAGGCTTCACTCTATGGTAAGAACATTCTGGATAATGTCATTTTAGAAACCTTTTGGTTTTAGAATTTTTCCTGCATGCATGCTTATAAAAATAGGGTAGTATTATCCACACACACTGCTCAAGTTTTGGCCGTCGGATCAAATGAATTGAAGAAGATTAAAGGACAAAAATTAACAAGGGGTGTGTGGGAGTAAAAGGGGGTGTGTGGATAGCACCCGCCCTAAACATAACATGTGTTTGATTTGTTATGTGAAATTTGTGAAATAAGGATCAGACAGAGTAGATGAAGCTAAAGCTTATGGTTGGTGAACAAAAAGCTTCACAGTTTGATAACAAGAGTTTGATTGAAGTCATGTCAAAAACCTCATAGGCTTAAAAATTTTGCTGCATTCATGCTTATTGAAATAGTTTTATCTGCATGATTTTCATATGAAATTTATAAATCAAAGTTTCTGGTTATTTCAAACCCGCCAAAAAGAAAAGACCAGGCAAATTATGTGAAGTTGTCAGCTTCCACACACTAATTATTATTGAACATTCTTTTCACAAATTGTTCAGCGTTACCAGTGCTGATGTAGGTACTCATGGACATAAAATGCATTGAGCTTCGAGGAAATGCTATCTTGGACATAAAATGTATTGAGCTTCGAGGAAATGCTATCTTTTGTTTGTCTAGAACTTAGCTATTTACTGGAATCAATTTCTCAAGGGACAGATCTTGTTTCTTTTTGTTATATTCAGCAAAATGTCTTGTGCTCAATATGAGGGAATTCTTAGTAATCACTCTTCTGCAGGGAATTAGATGTCTTATCGCGGATGCATACATGTTTTAATCTTCATTCTTGTGCTACAACCCTTGGATCTCTTTCTAGATTGGTATGTTTTGAGTTTGTTTTCTTGTCATTTACTTCTCTTGAGTTTAGGAACCTGTTTCTCTGATTCAGCCAGATTCCCTTGTATGAGAGTGACAAATTTTTCCATGCAGGTCCAATCATTGCCGAGGATGATCATCAAGGATGAGATTGGGAAGCAGGTGAGTGATCAAGATGAATATTATCTATTGATCTTCTGTACATATTATTTGATGGAATGTGCTAAACCACTGATGGAATTAACTCTTGAACATTGCCAGTTTATTATTATGAACACTTGTGCTTCTAATCTGTTTCTGAACATAGTAAGAGAATAAGTAATTTAATTTTATGGTCGGTGTATTTGAGCAGGTAAAGTATTCTCTGGAAGCAGCAAAATTGGCTCAAACTAATGCCTCACGCGGTGTTTATGATGCTTCAGCTGGTATGCTCATCTGTAGCCTTATTGACCATGGTTTACTTGAGGTTTTCAGTTGAACCATTTGTTGTTTATTTCACGTTTTGTAAAAACTCAAACAGATGGGTGCTTTTTTGTCAGTATCTTCTAGGCAAGCAAGATCTCTAGCAGAGGATGCCTTCTTTCATCCATCAATAATGTCCGTTAGCTACTATTCGTTCGAGCACTGCTTTGCCGTCTATTCAGTTTGTTGCTAAACCCTGCTTACATGGACACTAAAAATTTAAGTTTGATAAGCAACTGTTCTCTTATGTATTAATGTGCTATGTGTACAGCCTTTCTTCCTGCCAGTTTCAATACACGTTCTCCTAGCAGCTCTACGAGAATGGAGAAGATACAAGCAAGAAAATAAGAAGTACTTAGCATGGAAGACCAAAGTGAACAAAGCATCTTGATCATACTTGACACGAAGCACGGTTCTGTTACTTGGGCAGGAGGCCAGAAGACATCCAAAAAGCAATTCAACTGTTGTGATACATGCGTGTTTCTTGCGGCCTTGGGGAGTAGACCAAGTGATAAGGAAGGGAAGTATCAAAAGTTTTATGATTCCGATAGGTTGCGGTTTGATCCCGTTCCAATGTACCAAAAGATGAGCTTCTTGAGTACATGCTTTGGATTTAAATCCATGTTAGGATCGTTTTACTCATTTTTTTAGACATTGGCCAAAATGCTTACTGGATAAGCATATATATAGGTTTTATCTTTCCTGTTTTGTATTGGTTTAAGCATTTCCTCGGTCATTTATTTAGGATGTAGCAGCGCTTTTGTTTTGCTAGAAGGATTACGAGCTGATGGCTGGTTATATACAAGGCCAGCTTAGTTCTGTACTGTAATTTCAAAATTCAGATTTATATCAATTGAACGTTTGCCTTTTGTTGCTCGTTTGATTTGTGTCTTGTAAAATAGTTTTTTCGATGCTCTTGTTCCAAGTCTAGTTGAAGGGGGCAGAGGCTTTAGTTGGCCTCTCAAAATGTCATTATTCATGGAATTTAGTCCTCTCAAAATTTTGTTGTTCTAATGGTGTGAGAGGCAAGAGATGAAAAGTATATGGCTTGTTTAGATGTGCTTTTAAAAGATTCAAAAGCACTTTTTTATGAGTAAAAACACTTCCGTTTAAAAAACTGGTCGTTGGAAAATATTTTAAAAGTGCTTTTAGTTGGAAATAGAAGCACTAAGAAGCATTTTTCAAGAAGCACATAAAGAGGTGCTTCCTTCTAAAATTGCTACGCATAGTAAACAAAGGAAGCACTTTGCTCTCTTTAATGAAACTTTTTACAAAATTATCGCTATTTTTTAATTTGGAAAGTCTAAAATGGCATTGAACTTAGGGATGAGCAAAATACCTATGGGTTTGGGTAACCGCGGTTACCCGTCCATTTAAAGTTAACGGTTATGGTTATGGGTAACCGTTTAGACGAACAAACAGTTATGGGTATAACCGTTTATTCGTGAAATTTACATGGGCAGTTATGGGTCTTACCCGCAATTATAACGAGTATCCATCGGTTATGAGTATTACCCATGGTTATAACGGGTATCCATTTACCCATTTAATTTAATATATGTAAAATTAAAAAAATAAAAAATAAAAACCCTAAATTTTTCGATTACAAATAAGTCATGAGTTTTCTTGAAGCATAAGTCCAAGCCATGATGCCCTCTTGGACATACGCCCAAACCTTCACATATTGAAACTTTCAGTTTATAAACAACAAATAATGCAAAATATCCAAAAAAAAAAAAAAAAAAAAAAAAAGAATTTAAGAGCATAACTGTGATGCTGTCACTGTTCTAAGAGCAAGCCCAGCGTGGGCAGTTGCTCGGGGGACGGGGGAGAGAATAAGGGCCTGAGGTCCCGTGGACCGGCTCCAGCATGGGCAAGCCCGAGTGAAGGTGGAGGCCCGAGCTCCGGGCCCATGGAGAATTGCCAGTCCGAGAGCCTGAGGCCCTGTGACGCTAGCGCTGACGTCAACCTGGCGTCAAGCATTATTTAATTTTTTTTTTTTTGTGTCAGGCGCGTGCACCCCACTCGCTCGTGGGGGCGCGTCGCCGACACAAAATCAGAAAAAAAAATTTACTTTTTCAGTTACCGTTGGGAAGCCACGTGGCTTCCCACGATCCGTTAGATCTCAACGGTAAAAAAAAAAAAAATCTTATGTAATATCCACCGTTCGATCTGAGATCAACGGTGGATATTAATATGCTTTATAAATAAAAAAAATAAAAGAAAAAATAGTTTTAAAATTAAGAAAAGTTACCGTTGTGACACGTGGCACAATCTGGAGTGTTGGAATTCAAATTTTTTTATATCTAATGGCAGAGATTAATTAATTGAATAAAAATTTAAAAAAATTGTAAAAAATTCAAAAGAAAATTGTTTTTACTTTTCTATAAATACCTTCTCATTATCATCTACCTTACACAATAATTTCATATTTTCTCAACTACTTTCAATCACATTCCTTTCTTTGTCTCAAAGTTTGAATCCATTTTTTTTCAACAAAATGACCACTGGTGCAGGTACGAATTTGTCGCTTCTTGAAGATGTTGCGTTGTGTACTAGCTGGTTTGAAGTTAGTCATAGTTCGCTTACGGGTAATGAGATGCAGTTGCGAGAAATGTGGAGTCTTATTCATACCAATTATCTTGAGAAAATTGGTGGGAAAAGAACCAAAGAATCGATGTCCAGTCGTTGGAAATTACTTAGCCAATCGTTTAGTACGTGGAGAGACGTCTTGGCACAAGTTAGTAGTAATATTCGAAGTGGGGAAAATTACTTGGATCAGGTAACAATATATTATTTATTTGATACCCAAATTTACATTATAATTATTTGTTTGTATTATTTATTTGTTACCTACATAATTTATTATTTATTGTTTGTATTATTTATTTGTTACCTACTTACATTATAATTATGTTGTTTGTATTATTTATTTGTTACTTATTTTCATTATAATTATTTCTTCTCCCGCATTGTGTAGGAACTTCAAGCACAAGCTTGGTACGCTCCAAAACCAAAAGCAAAAATAAATTATTCAATCGGTGGGAATGTTGGAATATTGTCAAAGATTGTCCTAAATTTAGAGTTGTGCCAGTCGGTCCAGAAGTGCACATGAACAGCGCCCCTCTACACTCTACACCCGATCATATCTCGCATGTTCATGAAGATGATGTAGAAGAAGTGCCCGAAACACCCGTCCCTGAACAAACGTCGGGTTCGACCCGTTATCCAATTAGGCTTCAAGGTAAGAAGGCTTTAAAGAGAAAAGGAAGTGCTTCCAAGAATGATTATGCAAAGTTCATGGAAGAACTTACTCGCCAAGGTGAATTGACTTTGGCGAGGGAATTGGCGAAATATGAGGCTGATAAGGCTAGAGATGACGCAAAAGCTGCAGCTATTGAGAGAGAATTTCAGGCTAATGAGAGAGAAAGATAGCTACTTAGGCAAGCAAGAGAACATGTTAGAGAAGAAAGACGGGCTCAACGAGATCGTGAGATTAGGAACACGCCTTTAGAAGGGAAGTCTTCAAATTCTAAATTTTTTTGGAAGTCAGAGAAAGCGGACGTGGTGCGAAGGAGGCGTGCAAGAGAAGCGATAGCAAGCCAAGATGATCCTAGCACCATAAATTGATTAAGTGATGATGAATAGAGTACTTTTTATAATCGGAGCATTGTAATTTATTATTTATTGTTTGTATTATTTATGTTGTTTCCAATTTATTGAATATTTATTCAAATTAATTTGGTAAGTTATTTATACTAAGAGAATATTTATTGAAATGACAAAAAACACCAAATAAAATTACATAAGCATACGGAATAATTAAAAACTCACTAAAAAAATTACATAAACATACCAAATAATAAAACACACCAAATAAAATAACATAAACATACCAAATTCAAAAAAACACACTAAATGAACTTAATTATCTTCAGCTTGTTTCAATGCCCACTGGTGCTCTATCAAGTCAATTTGCGGGGCATTGTGCATGTCTGGCATTTGAAATGCAGTATATCGTTGAATGAGCCTTTCATTGTAACGTTCATCCCTTTGTAATGGCTCATGTTGCACGGACATCGTTGAACACTGGGGATTGGGTAAGGATGTTGATGTCATTTGAAGCTCCCGGGACCACGAAAAAGGCGTGCCAAATCTATGTATCAAAAGATACCACCGCCTCCAGAATGATACTTTTTGCTCCATTTATGTCCCCATAAGCGCCTTGTCATGCACTTGGACAGTTTTTCCATGTCCAGTGCATACAATCAATGCTTCCAATCATCCCAGGAAAACCACGCATCTCGGCCTTCTTCAACAACCGTTCTAAGTCCATGTTTGTAGGTTTGCGGAGGTACTCAGCGGTGTAGATAAATTCGATTGCTCCGCAAAACCTCATCAGGGACTCAAGAATGGTTGATTCCCCATCCTCATTATCTCATCCACTTGGTTTGCAGATGCTCCATATGCAAGCATCTGTAAGGCAGCAGTAATTTTTTGCTCAGGCAATAGACCCATAGCACCAAAAGTATCTTTCTTTTGCACAAAGTAAGAATCATGGTTGCAAACAGCAATCATGATTTTGTTGAACAAATGTCGCTCCATTCTAAAACGACGTCTAAAGTACGTATCAGTGAATACACTATTAGGAACAAAATAATCATCCAAGAGTTCCATACCTCGTCGTTGCCTGCTTCTATCAAGGTTTCCGAAACGGCTAGGCCTGTAGATCTGAGCCATAGCTTGAATGACTTGACGGGAATGTGAGGCTCTGCCCATTCTTACTTCGTCATCTCTCTTTCTACGCTCCTCATCCTCTTCCCTCTCATTTTTTGCCCCCTGGTGATTGAACATTACTTTTGATTGGTTAAACAATTCTTCCTCTTCCTGATCGAGTTCCCACATCATCCTTGAGGAAGAATAAGACATTGTAAGAAAGAAGCAGAAACTATGAATAATGATACAGATTTTTGTGAAGAAGGAAGCAGAAACTATGAATAATGATAGAGATCTTGAGAAAATTGGTGTGAGATTTGTGAGGATGGATAATGGATTATATGGAGGATTCAGAAAGGATTAGGTTGTACATAATGCCACGTGGCATGCCGTCATTCGTTAAAAATCTGATGGAAATCTATCCTCAAAGATTGTGAACAGATTATGTCACGTGACATACCGTCATTCGTTAAAAATCTGATGGAAATCTATCCTCAAAGATTGTGAACAGATTATGACACGTGGCACGACGTGATTGGTTAATAATCTTATCAGAAATCCATCACCAATAATTGTATTTTTGGATAATGACACGTGGCATAACGAGTACGATTAAAAAATTTATCGGAAATCCATCCCCAATAATTGTCTTTTCGAATTTTATGACAAGTGGCGCAATGACAACGATTAAAAATCTTATCCGAAATTACAAATAAAATTATTTTGTATTATTTAATAATACTTCGGATAATGACACGTAACGCAACGAGAACGATTAAAGATCTTATTCGATATTACAATTAAAATTATTTTGTATTATTTTATAAATAAAAAAAATACTAATATTTTATTGCCTATTGCCAGGGCTATTGAAGTGTAACGGTGGAGATGCAAATGCTATTGCCAGGGCTATTACTGTTCATTAAGGGCAGTTACTGTTCATTAGGTGGACTGAATAGTGCATAGCCTGGGGGGAGGGCTCCAACGCTGGAGTTGCTCTAAAAATCTCCGCCTAACACCACCTAGGCGCTAGGTCATTGGCCTTCGCCCCGATTAATGTCTAGGCGTTTGAAAATTAAGAAAGGGCGCCTAAACCTGTTGAGGCACCCGCTTAGACCACTTAGACACCCGCCTACAGACCTGCCTAGGTCATGGCTCACTTAGACAGAAAATTATTCAGTTTCATTTTGCATTTTATTTTTTCAATAAATTATAAGAGACTTGTTGCATACTTAAATAAGCACATATTATATCCTTGTTCCCCATATTGTCATTATGTTCCAATACTTCATAATATATATGTCATTCTATTTTGTAGTTTATGATGAAATTATATATATTTTAAGTATAAGTAGACACTTATTTACACGAAATATAATAGATTTACTTAAATCCGCTTAGTCTGCCTAGGTGCCTACCTAGGCTCCATCTAGCCGCCTAGGCGCCTACCTAGGCTCCATCTAGCCGCCTAGGCGCTAGGCCCCAACTCGCTACCCTACAAGCGCATAACGTCTTTTAGAACCTTGAATGCTATCAAATTGATCTAGGAAAGTTGAATGATTTTGATGATGAAATCTAATGAAAGCAGAAAAAGAACGAGTAATTTCTTACTACAATTACACAACGTTAAACAAAAGAGTCATTCTCACCCAAAATCAACTACATATATTTGCAGAGAAAAATGAAGTCAATACCAAAATAGAGGGAGGAAACCAACTGCACCTACACAATTGGTGTCGGTGTTCCTAAATGGGATACTAATTCAATTTATACATTTCTTTTGTAGGCCTCTTTTGGTGACAACGAGTCGATGAGACTTTGTGATTGAACGTGCTAAAGTATTAGTGTTCGAAAGTGTTTAGTTTTGGAATATTTTGGAGCTTTGAATCATCTAGTATTCAAGATAATGACTACTTTTTGTTTTTAGAAGTTTTACTTTGTAATCGTATGGATTATAATTAAAGACTTGCTTGGGTGCAGCAGAAAAATATCATTCGTAAACTATTATTTCAATTATTGGATTTATATGAGGACTTAAATGATTAAAATAGGAAAATGTATGATAAAATGTACCTATAACAATGTTTAATTTTTAGAAAACAAAAATTATGACAAATTTTTCTTTTGTAATTTTCAAGTTGTAAAAATAAAATTTAAAAAAAAAAAAAAAAAAAAAAAAAAACAAACATGTACATGGGGTAAAAAGGGGTAAATGGGTAAAAAAAAGGATAAACGGGTTCAAAAATGGGTAAACGGTTATGGTTAAATGGGTATACGGTTATGAGTATGGTTAACCGTTTATAAACGGTTATGGATATGAGTATAACTGTTTATATAATTACCTAATAGGTAAATAGTTATGCAGTTATGAACATAAACGGTTATGAGTAAATAATCGCAGTTACCCTTCCACCATAACCGTTGCCCATTCCTAATTGAACTTCAAAAAACATCAAAACTGCCATTACCACTATTTTCTAGGGCTCTACGTTGTCAAATGAGAAAACCCAAAGGATTTTTCTTTTCTGATTATTTTGGAGTCCGGAGCAGTCATTGTGGTCATCTCTTCGTCTCCATCTCCCCCAAATATCTGTACAACTTCATCACTTGAATTTTTGTAAAGGTATGCCTCCTACCTTTTATCTTAATTTTGTATGTTGTTTGGAGCTGTGTGTCCTGCTTCGGTTTTTTTTTTTTTTTTTTTCTGCTTTTTGTTTGAAATTTCTTAGCTTTAATTTGTGCCTTTACTCTATTGCAGACTTGGATGCATGATGGCATCTAAGTGATAGTCCAAAGATTGTGATTGCTAGTTTTTGGCTATAACTTGCTTGCTACCATGATGACATATTTGAGAGATTGTGAATGTTTTGTAAATCTAATGACTGATTAGATGATACTATGATGGTTAGGGATAACTACTTTTTGTTGATATATGATGTTTAGGCAGGTTATGAATATTTTGTTGATAATATAATATTTAGTCAGGGAATGACTATTTTGTTGATAATATGATGCTTAGGCAGGGTATGACTATTTTGTTTAGGTAGGTTATGATGGCTAGGCAGATGTACTTTGATGTAAAATATTGAGTCTAATGAAGTTATTTGGAGTTTCCTACTCTTTGCTCGTTCCTAATGTTTTTTGTTCATTTATTGACTTTTATACAAAATTTACATAGTGAAGATCTCTTTAGTTCATAGCAAATCAAGTTTTTCGGATTTGAAATGGTAAAAATAGTCCTTCTAGATCATTCACATTATGTAACAAAATATATCCCGAAAAAGTGTTAAAATTGAAAATGTTCATAGCAATTTATTTCCACCTCCTTTTAGCTTATTCACATTATGCAAAACTCCACTTGCATATGCCGAAAAGAAGAAACTATAACTTGAGTGAGAAAATTTAATATTGAAGTAAATACTTAAATTCATAAAAAATAAATAAAACCATTTTAGTTTGTCTATGAAATAAAAAAGCAATTTGAGTACTTTTTGCTGTTATATATATTATATCATCTACTATTAAAAAAAAAAAGCATAGAAACTGTTAAATATTTGATTTCGGACAAAGGCATGTTAGTAATCATACTAATTTAGATTCCAATTCTGTTGAATTAGTAAACAACTTTATGGAATCAGTGCCATTTCTATTCCAATTCTAAAACATTTAAGTAAACAACTTTAACAGTAATCCGATTCTAACTATTCTTCATTCTAATTTATCCTCAATTCAATTCCTTGTGTGCCATTAGATCTTCTCTTCCAACTCACATAGATTGTTAGGACCCATAGTATATTGGGCCATGGTCCTTATACATTCAGCCCACTTGGCCCATTCTACTTTCTGAATTCTAGGTCTTTCGAAGAATAAAGCCGTTAGGGCGGGGTAGGTTTCTATTCCCTTGCAGGGATATTTTCTGTGTGTTGTTGTCATCAGCCCTATTTGATACTATATATATTGTTGAGCTGAATGCAAGAGGGCATGAACGAATTAAAAGCCTTTCCTTTTTATCTCTGTTTCTGCATTTCCTATCTTTCACGCATTCGCCATCTCCCAAACCCTTATACGCTGCGTTAAGATCCGCCAAAATCTTCCTTGTAATTTATTTCAGATTATAAGAGCGAGCAAATAAAACAATTGTTAGCTGTGGAGGGCACAAACAATATCTTTCTTTGATCCTCCAACAAACTAACCTTACCCTAGTTGTGTACATAGAATCACTATCTTTCTTTGATCCTCCAACAAACGGGATGAGCTTTTCCGCATTGCGAATAAAACTAATTTAATGAGGATATCGGATCCTCCTATGTGTTTGATTTTGGGTTATTCTAAAAATCTCTGTCTAACAGCGCATAGATCTTGCCTGGGCACTAGATGGTTGACCACTGTCCTGATTAATTCCTAAGAATTTAAAAATTAAGAAAGAACGTCTAGATCTGTTTAGACGCCCGCTTAACCCGCCCATACACGTTGGATCGCGACTCCCACTTAGGTATGCATTTCTTAATTTTCTTAATTTGAAAATTAAGAAATGCATATCTTGCTTTACTCTGAGGGCCGAGAAAATCAGTAAGTGAAAGAAAATTTCCGCTATTTAGCCTATCTAATGAAGTGATCAAAAAATGACTTATTTCGAAACTGCCACAGCAACCGCACTAAAATTCCTACACAATTATTCACCTACGAACAAAAAACATCAGAGTACAAGTACAAGCTGTGAAATTCTGTAGTAAGGGTTTTCATAGAAGGAGCATATCACCTTCAAGTTAGATTTTGGGAGAAAAGACAGTAAATCCTTAAAATTTAAACTTCAGCTGTTCCAAGCTAACAAATTCACAATGTTTATATCAATAACGAGCACGTTGAAAGCCACTTACAGCGATGCGCACTAGAAAGAAAGGGAAAAAAAAATGTAAGAGGGGTAAAATAAAGTTACATGCAGGTAGGTTGATACCAATCAAAATAAAACCTGCTACATCATACTAACATGATGAAATAAGGCGATGAAATGGCTCCACCCTCAAACGTCATACTCTTGATTCCAATGCCAAAAGTATCTTCTTCCTTGGGCCCTGAAACCCCCGGATAGAAGAGATTAGCTCAAAGCTGGGAAGCCGAAACTCATCTCATTAAACGTTAAACTCAAATTGCTTGTATATATGTCACGATTGCATTATGCATCACCAGAAATAAAAGGAGACTAAAAAATAGTTGAACTGTTTGTGAATATTATTTTGTTCACTGAGACATACACTATGATGAGACTAATGTTCCTTTGATCTAGCATTATAAAAGCTGTATTTAAGTAAAACGAATAGTTGCACTGTTTGAAACAACTGTAAGGTAACATGATTAGTTTCAGGTCAAATGAACAAACAACGTCCTCAACGTAATTGATGTAAGCCCTAATTGGTGTTTGAAATTCCATTTTTGATTTTAACCTCCAAGACATCCAACTGATGTTAGGAAAGCAACTATTGTTCAACCCTGCAATACTATTAGATTTTCACTAGACTATTGTAAGGATGGTATGCTTTACAATAAATGAATTGTATTCAAAATATCTTCAAAAATCTTACATACCACTCTTGCGTGTTGAAACAGAGGCTGTATAAAGTTTTCTAACACCCACCCAAAACCAATATTAAACTAGCAAACTATTATACTTCAAATCACAAGTTTCAGTAACAATTTACTCGAAGTAAAATAAATATGGATTTCTTAGTTTCTGAAAACAACTAATAAGCATAATATATTGGCTAACGGATCTGATATTGTAATTCATGTTTCAAGAATTCTATCTGGGAATAAGGTTGAGTTTACCATCGGTATTCCTAGAGCCTTGAGGTCCTCATCAGTCATGTGCACAAGAGCTGTCATATCAACCTGTATAAACACATGTAATTGAGCATTCGAAGGTAATGAATACTTTCTCAAAGGCAGGTGGTGGAAAAATAAACAATAGAAGCCCGTAATCTTGCTTACTTCCTCTGCCTGAAATGTGATGGAGTATTTTTCAAGATCCAAGGATGTCAAAAATTCATCCACTGATGGACCAGCCTGCACCAAAAGAGGCACGAGTCATGACATTAAGAGGCAACTGTCGTAATGACTGTATTTGTGTGTCACAGGATGGGATATCGGAACATTGACACCCAATACCTCAGTCAAGAAACAAAATGATTTCCTTTTATGCCTACTTAAAGGTATTGCAATGTAACAATACCCGTATACCACCAATTATGACCCACTTTATGAAATGATTTTCTTCCTCTCATGCCGAGTATTGGAAAGAAATCTCATTCTTAATTATTTATTTATTAAGGAGCCTGTTAGAAAGTCCAACCCTTCAGGCCACCCTTTCGGGATTAAAATTAAGTATGAAACCCGATTATTCATTCTACATTAATTCTATGTTATAAAATCAACCCAATAACTGCCATATCCACACTATTCCCAACCCATCCCATTGTGGCCCCTTAAACAAATAGAAATTCAAAAAGAAAATGGAAAAGAAAGCAGGGTCAATACACATCTCAAATCAACATATTATATACCGTTAAGAAAACTTCCCTCTTGGTGAAACACTTTAAACGTCTAAAATTTTAATACTTGAGCAACGTAGTAAAGATGAACCTAACTGTATTTAAAGGTTATTCTGTTAATTCTGGTAATCAGATGTAGAGAGCAATATCAAACACAGCCAGTGTAAGTATGTGTGTCGTTACTGGTATGAAATTTAAAGAAATAAAACACTTCATGCCTTCTGTGAAGCCTTCTTTCTAGGAGCTGGGTTGGCAACTTTTTTACTCTCTGCTGCAGGGGTGCCAACAGCAATACTTCTCCTGGCTGGTTTGGCAGCCTCCACTTTTGGTTTTAGTGGATCAGTGTTCATTGGTTGTGGATTCATAGTACCAGATAGCTTTTCACGTAGGTCCCTTACACCTGAAAAGGATCGAGTTCCACTATTTTTGAAAACTTTCCTTTGGAGCTTCAATCGAAGGTCTCGAGCATCAACTTTCCGACCTTCACAAGAATTTAACACATAATCAGCAACCAAAGAAAGATGACTCAATGGCATAAAGCAATAGCTGCAGATTTAGTTGCAGGTGAAAGTGTCATAGTCCATACTTGAAACTTGAGGATCATCCTCGTATAGATCATGCTCCCACTTGTCATCTTGTCTCTGCCTGCGAAAGGATATGCTATCAACTCAATTATGAAGCTTTTTGCACTGAATGCCCTTAGTCCAATCAAACACTAACATCACAATGTAACTATTCAACAGACAGCACCCTCTGAAGTTCTGGACAAGATGTATATGCACCATATGGGTTAAAGCATCTGGTGAAGGCCAAATTGCAACATCAAATGCAGTACCTTTGTAACCACAATGATTTAATCAAGACTGAAACACAACAAGAGCTCTCACTGAAATCTTCAAAATTCATCAACGAGAACCAGACTTATCACGCATCCTATCGGTTCATTTCAACAAATACAAAATCAACTGGTCTAACAACATTGCCACACAATTCCTGTCTTATAAAAGATCTAATTCATACGTTAAGTAAGAGTTTCACAACTTTCACTACTAGAAACACACAAAAAATATATTTTTGTACTAAAAAGATGTCGAGTCAAGTGGTAGAAATAGGAGAAATGGTAAAACAAGGAGTCAAATGGTATCCAAATTTGATTCCATATACAACTTTGTAAGGAGTCCTCATTTCAACGAAAAGGAGATCAATGGAGATGAACACCAATTCAGTTGTATAATTTTTTTTAGTGGTATTGATACTAGTGCTGCTTGTAAAAAAATGGCATTGACAACAATGCTGTAAGCCTGTAATCCAGCATTTTGAAAATATAAAACTGGTGTGGACTGTTACTTGCATTATCGTATCGGATTTGAACTAAAGTATTGGTAATCAATATCCAAACTTTTCTGTTTATATGGATGCTATCAGCATTATTATCTATTAAAGTTGCCAACACAACACCGAGAACAAATTCATGAAATTTTCCACCTAGTTTGATTTTCCATACAACTCCAACTCCAAAAATTCACATTTCTATCAATCGAGCGCATCACAAAAACTATTCTACAACATACAAAGCAAAAGAGCAACAAAAATCAGACTCACAAACAGAATTCAAACCCAAAACAAGCACATAATAAACCCGGTACAAACTAAAGCAAAATCCACAAACAACCACATGAAATCAGTGCCATCAATTTATTCTTCAAAAAAAAACAAAAGGGTAACGAAGAGAAAGCGAACCTCTTTCCGGCTATTTGTCTATGGCGACCAGAGTCATAACTGAAGCTGCCATTGAGGCGGTCCTTTGCGGATAACTTGTTATCAGCTTCCTCTCGATCAGCATACATCTTCCTTATTGCTAATTACTAGAAACCCTAAATCCCAACTCCCAACTCTCACTTGAACCCTAACGGGTAAGGAAAAAATGGGGAGCAACCTACCACTCCGGAATTTGAAATTCTAGAGAGACATGGAGAAAGAGGGAAGGGGGAGAAATTTGGAAAACCTTGACCTTCGTTTTATCAATGAGAGAAGAAGCAATTTGATTTTGGAAGGAACTGAATTACAGAGACAGAGATTTGATTGAAGACGGAGCAACCCGCTTCAGCTATGGGGAATTTGTGACGCCGTCACTTGATTTTTCGGGTTTCGGGTCTCGGAATCTTCTATTTTTCGGTTCGGCACACGTTTGGTGAATTAGTGCTGTTAAACGCACGTGTTGCTAGAGACATTTTTGCATCATAGGCGTTACGCGTTCTTAAAGATATATTGTGTTAGTTTTTCCTATTGTAATTGTCAAGATATACTTTAAATGTACTGTGCAAAGAGGAACTTTATTTTTTATTTTTTTATTTTTTATTTTTATCATGCATGTCTTAAGAAGTTATCATGTTTTTCGTTTTTACTTTGCATAATGTAATGATTCAAATGTTATTCATACACTTAACAAACAACATGCGATTTTAGATGCAAGTTCCTACCTAAAGTTCATGAACAATAGTAAGTATATGTAAATAAAAAAAATAGTAGATAACAACATTAAGTACTCGTAGTAAAATACAAAAAAGCTTAAAGGTCAAAATATAAATCCTACATAACAATATGTACATTATTCACAATACTCATAGAGTCTATATGTCACTGTTTCTTTTGAAAAGAAAGTTTACATATTGACATCAGTGCTGCGATTTCCACCCATTTGTTCATGATTGATGCTTCAAATTTTCATTGTCAATCTACAAACGATAGTGAGAAAATTAAAAATCAAATAAAAAGAGTTAAATGATAAGTGAGAAATGCATATTGAAAGGTTATCGTTAATAAAGTTGTTACCTATTAGGAATCACCATAATTAGCTGGAATGAAGCACAACTTTTTTGTATACTACATTCCGTGTAAATTCACCTTGTTGGCCTACTATGGAGCCATTTTTTACTAACACGGTTGTGGTTGGCTTTGAGACTCTCCTTGATAAAGCCACATATAATTGTCCACGGCTGAAGACATGATTTGGAAGGTAAACGTCTACATGTGGTATTGTCTGACCTTGAGATTTGTTTATAGTGATAGAGAAACTTAGTTTCATTGGAAACTGCTTTCTTGTAAGTTCAAATGGAAGCCCAGCAGTATCAGTACTTTTGAGAGGGATGCTTGGTAAGAAAACTCTAGATTAAGCAAATTGTCCAATTAGAATTTCAGCATCAATAAGATTTCGGTAAGAACTACGACATAATGATCTTGTACCATTACACAATCCCAATTTCGGATTAATATTCCTTAAAAGTATGATTGGAGCACCTCTTTTCAGAGTTAACTTGTGCGGAGGCAAACCACCAAGTGAGATTGAATTCAAGAATTCTGTTTGATACAAATTCCTTGTGTCATCCTCAACTGAATCAAATGAATATGTCTCTTCTAAACCCGGAAATATATTGATTCTTTTTATTCAACATATCAACGTCTTCATTGGTAGGAGTTACCATTGCCCTTTCTACCATGTAGGTTGCATCATTTATATGATCCTCTAAGTCAGGAAAGATTTTGGCAATTAATCGATTAATAGAATGCTCACTCTCCCATGGTATCATCATGCATTCAGGTAGTTTTACCATATCATCCATAATAACATCTTCATTCCCATCACCAACACAAAGTAAAAATTCACGATCATTTATAGATCTCATGTTTTGTTTAAGTTTTAAAATCTTTATCTGTGACCAAAATGATGCGTTAACAACACTTGCTTGGATTAGTTCGGACTTGGTTTCTTTTTAAATAACAGGAAGAACTTGTCGAAAATCTCCCCCAAATATCACTATCTTCCCCCCAAATGGTAAGTCAATATCCGTTAAGTCTCTGAACGTTCGATCGAGTGCTTCAAATGCATGACGATGCTTCATTGTTGCTTCATCCCAGATAATTGCCTTTACCTTTTGTATTAGCTTTGCTAAATCAAATTGCTTTTTATGCTATGAAGATTGTAAAAACACCATTGTGTAACAAAATGGGAGATCAATGGTTGAGTGATAGCATGCTTGTTTACATTGAGAGAGATGTATTTGCGTTTATTGATAATGAGTCTATTATGCAACATTTTCATGATATGAAACCTCGCTGAGAACAATTGTAATTTGTTTGTATTGATAAATTATGGAAGACATTACTATATAAAAGGATTTGGTTGTTTCTATTCTTTTGAACCTTGCAATCTTTTAACTTTGCCCCTTCCCCCGTCAACTTCTGGCTTCACCATTGCAAACTGGCAGTACTATTGGCCCTCGCCATGGAATAGTTTGTACGATGTGTGGTAAGATTGGTGGGCACCCTGGCCGCAATAACTGGGAAAGACGTGATGAGGAAAAATATTGCTTTCATGTTTGGAAGATGGTCTTCACTAGGACAGGGATCTCTCTACGACGACACTGATGACCAATGATGTAAACCTAGGCAACTGCGGGTGGCAGGAGTTAGAGGTTGTTTTTTATTATTATTATTATTTTTATTTTGATAAATAAAATATATTGTTGAGAAAAAGAGAATACAAACAGCAAAGAGTAGCTAAAAATACAAGCACGCAACAAAGAGCTGCAACTATAAGAAAAACAGACAGTAAAGCTAATAATGCTGCATCAAAGTAGCAAAAATGAGCACTAACTATTCATAATCATATTCCATTCCCGCAAAGTAGAGTCATTAGCAGCAGAATGGGCGATTTTCAAAGAACTTAATCGAAGTCTAATGGTGGATTTAATTGAGTTGAGAACCATCGCAGCAGGTTGACTTGAATTCTTGAATCTACGGTTGTTCCGCTCCCTCCAAACATAATACACAGTAGCAGGAAGATCTAACTTCAAAACTATTGACGATAGAGATTTTCCCTTGCAACGGCTAGTAGCCCACATGACAAAAAGAGCCAAGGACACTGCACTTGAATAGCACCGAAGATCAAATACCATGGGTAAAGGGACACTCAAAGAAGAGGTGGCAATGGAACTCTGTAGCAATAGAGTAGAGTACGCAAGTGACAGGAACCAATGGAGCAAAAGTTAAAATTCTATCCATAGTAGAAATCTTGCATTTAATAGCCAACCAAAGAATGAAGCTCATCTTGGGAATATTTTGATTATACCAAACAGGCTTAGACCAACCTACCGTAGGCTTGGATTGCCGAAACTTATCCCAAGCAGATACAACATAGTAGATGCCTAGACGATGAAGATGTCCATTGAATCATATCACCCAAGCTATGATTTGGCACAATATTAGACATAGAAATTTGAATTTCCAACAACTCATGAAAAGAATTATTAGGCCAATACCAATTAAAACCATTCCAAATATTACAAACCAAAGCAGTTTTTGGAAGCCTGGAATCAACAATGATATGGCAACCCCAATTGACAACAAGAGGGGACCTATGTTTAAGTTGGAGGTTGTGTTGGCCCAATGTAATGGACTTATGTTTAAGTTCTCCTTTTAGTTTTTTTTCATTGAGACATCACTCATAATGTTCGTTGAATCCTAGTTTTGGAACAAACTTAAAATTTGAATGGAGCTGGGAAGAAGGAAGAGAGGTTCCTTTCTCTACCCCGTACCAAAGCTACTTGAACTTTGAATACCACACCAACTCCCTCAAATTGTTTTTCAGCTTACTTGAAGAATTCGTCATTCCCAAGCTAGTCTTTTCTAATTGTTTTTCAACTTTCAGATTAAAGGCTTTAAAACAATTGCAAACTTGGGACTTTTCGGAAATTAAATAAAGATAAGTGAACTATGAAAAGTCATCAATAAATAGAAAAGAGTAGAGATTACCACATATTTTCTTTGTTGAAAATGGACCACTAACAATGTTTGGATATAGAAACTCTTCATCCTAAGATCGAGCCAATAGGATGTAAATGTATTTTTAAAACCAAACGTGACTCACAACAAAGAATTCAAGGACATAAGGCCTGACTTGTTTGCTAGGAGATTCACTCAAAAGGAAGGATTGGGTTATCACGAGACATTTTCCCCAGTTTCTACAAAGGACTCTTTGCGTATTACCATTGCATGTACAACTCATTTTAATCTTGAATTACATCAAATGGATGTAAAAAAGTTAAAAAAATGATTTTCTCAGTGAGAGTTTATATGAACACATTTACATGGTTCAAACACCAGGATTTATTGAAAGAGGGAAGGAGAACATGGTATGCAAGTTGAGCAAATCTATCTAAGGTCTTAAACAAGTGGAATCAAAAGTTTGATGAAGTAGTAACCTCATTTGGTTTTGTCATAAATAAAATTGACAGTTGTGTCTGCATGAAGATGATAAACTCAAGATTGATCATTTTATTTTTCTTTATGTAGATGATATAATGCTTGCAAGTTCAGAGGTTTAGTTGCTACAAGAAACAAAAAGTATGCTGTCTAATATTACAATTACCCAACCATGTAAATTTGACCAAAAAACATGAAAAAAGATACAATATTTACCCCAAAATGTGAAAGAATTAGAAATATAATCTGAAGTTTGGTCCAAAGAAGGCTGAACATCTCTTCCATGGTTAATTTCAAGGAACGATCAATTTTCATATTTGACGACGTAGTGTTGGTCAAAACGAACATTGTCCCAAGCTGCTTCACCTAAATCATGCTTTGTGACAACTAGTGCTAGCAAAGTTAGCATAGAAAACCAGGTTATCATGAGTATTGGTTAAGAAAAATGTTGTAATTATATATCATTATTATTTTGTTTAAATCAAGCTTTTGAAATGTTAAGTCAGATCGGAAATAACGTTTTCTTGCTCCAGTCGATTGATGTTATTTATGTTTAACATATAACGCAGAATATATAATTAGGGTTAATTAGAAACACCTAGACAAAACATGTCAAAGAGGGAGGCTGCAGGCAATCACACAAAAAACAGAAGCTTCCGCAACCACAAGCAAATATTTGTTTGCAAATTTAGTAGCTGAGTCGAAGATTTTATATTTAAAGCTTATGAGGCATATCAGCATATTGAGTGAAGAAGAAGGAAAAAAAAAAAAACTATTTGCAAAAACATATAAAAAAGAATTGCAACTATATCTTCCCCTAGGGACTTTCATTCCATATCTCACATTACTCCAAGTCAGTCAACTATTGACCGTAAATTTTCTTATTGATAAATTAATAATATGGATGCCATTTTCTTGAGCACTTCGTAATCAAAAGGTAATGACTGAATAGACATAGTTGAGGAACTGAGGTAATGTGAGACACAAACTAACAATCCAGAAAAGAAAGTGATTCGGTTTAAAAGACATGGAGTAAAGACGATACTTCGAATATTGTTCTGGTGACACTTTGATAAATAAGCAAAACGAAAATATCAGTTGGCTTATGTGTTCATCAAAACAATCCAAGTAATTAGGGTATGGCCAAAAGATAATTAAAAACTTCAGTAATCTCATCAATCGAGGACCGATCTCTAAATGATCATTCTTATGGTTCAAGCTTGTTCAAGAAATACTCCAACAAGAAATTCTTGAGGTGCAAGTTGCCCTGTCGCCTCACGCATCCACCCGAGATACAAAAACATTCCATGTTAACCAACCGCCGCTGGATTTCGAGCTCACCCACCTCCTCATGGTCCTATCCAACGAAGCTTCGATCGAATAATTAAATGTTTTGAGCGTCTCTGCAAACCAACTAGGGCACGCAAGGTTTAGTTGACTTTTATACTTAAAAGTGGATAAGATTTACAGAGAATCAGAATTCCCCAAAGCTTCTTTGTAACAGAAAGTACACATCACCAGAAGGAGGGAAGAGAAAGTAAGAAAATGACTTTTGATTCCACTCCTACCGCAAAAAGTCGTACATATGCGCAATCTCACACGTCAGATTCCCTCTCAATCGTTTTCAGCCGTCGTACGTACAACGATTCCCTCTCTGTCCACTTCTCCCTCCCCCTTCTTTTTCTCTCTAGCGTTTATATTACGCTTGGGCAACTCCTCTCCTTTTTAAGTTTGAAGCATCAGAGGGTTGTGTCTGTGTCGAAGAGTAATTTCCGTTGTGTGTGTGTGTGTGTGTGAGAGAGAGAGAGAGAGAGAGAGTGAGATTGTAGGAAGATGTCAGCAACAGATGGAGGTAGAGGTGGTGGTGTGAGGGAGGAAGGGAAGAAACCCCTGGATCAGCCTGCCCACATTAACCTCAAAGTCAAAGGCCAGGTATACATTTGCATCGATATCTCAAGCCAATTACACTTTGTCATGCGGTTGTAGTTTACTTGGAATATCGCTGTGTAGCTGCATCATGTTGTAGACAAGTTCTTTCGACATATTCACATGTTTGTATGTTTCATATTTTCATGATTGTTGCTAGTTATTTTTGAAATTCTGGTTGGTTTCTTTTATTCTTAATATTCCCAATTTGGGTGGTGTTTGTTTACACAGCTATAGATTAATTAAGTACAATCCTTAACAACCATTAACATCCTAATTTTGACAATAATTTTTCTTATTTTTTGTTAAATTTACAGGATGGTAACGAGGTATTTTTTCGAATTAAACTTACCACCCAACTGAAGAAGCTCATGACTGCATACTGTGATCGGGTGTCAGTAGACATGAACTCGATCGCCTTCTTGTTCGATGGCCGGAGACTCCGGCCTGAGCAGACTCCAGAGGAGGTTAGATATTGAGTTGTTTCTCAGATCTGAACTCAGTATTTGGCTATTTAAATTCAATTTGCAGCTCATTTTTGTTGTCGGTGTTTGTCAGCTCGAGATGGAAGATGGTGATGAGATTGATGCAATGCTGCACCAAACTGGAGGGTGAGCATGAAAGTTGTTGAACCCCTTTTTTTCTTATAATTTTTATATTTAATAGAGAATTATGAAATTTTAAGTTTCTGTGTTTATGATAATTGTAATGGAGTTCTGATGAGATGAATATTGAAATAAATGTTTTCCTGGAATCTTGAGAGAGAGAGAGAGAGAGAGAGAGAGAGAGAGAGACAAACTCATGCGTTATACAAGTCTTCAAAATGTTCACAAATTGGAGTTAAAGATTGAATATCATGACTCAACACATATGACATTTTGAGAAGTATAATATAATCATGACTAAAAAATGATAATTCTGCGAAGTATACGTTTCCTAAATACCGAAAACAGTGTTGGTTTGAGAAGCCATGTGCGACCGAGCAAAACAGGGTAAGACGGAAAAAAATACACCGTTTTGACAGTCCAACAACGAGCATTTACCGAGCAACATATTTGATCCTTGTGCGTAGTATTCTAAGGCAATGTATGGAAAACTGAACACTGAGTAAAGGGTGGCTGAACTCAAGCCGGTAACTGGAGCTTTTTGTTGTTTTTCCAGCTGCAAACCACAATTGTACAAATGTATATGAGGGAAGGCTCAGATGAATGCAAATTATTTGTAACATTTATGAACATTTACCTGTGGAAATAGTAGTAGAAGAAATCGGCATACAGCAGTGTTTGAACAAGCCCGGAAATCCATGCTGCAATGGCCAAAGAAGAACGTAAGCATATAGTTTAAGGTCGAAAGAAGAAGTCTACTAGGCAAACAAGAAAGGGAAAATGTGCCAGGATACTGAGGATGTGGTGTCTCAAAGATGCTGATGAGCTCAACTTTGGTTTCAATATGTGGAATGGGAACTCAGATTGTGAAGGCTTATGTTCGAGAGTTGTCAACTAGTCCCACATTCAAACATGGAAATTATCAAAATTCAGTAATGAACAAAAATTAAGTTTTCTTTGAGAAGAACTAATGAATAAAAATTAAGTTTACAATCTAATGATTCAATATACCATGCAAAAGTAGAAGAAACAAGTAGGAAACAAGTGCTTTCGAATTAAAGAGAATACAGTTGCTAATATAAGTAACATATATGTGCATATTGGTGTAAAGTTGTAAGAGACACTACTATCGAAGCAGTAGGTCAATGAATCCCCCTAATTTAAAATGAATACAATGAGAAAAGGTCTCAAAATACAAGTATAAATATAAAGAATTTGAATGTTATTCATATCACAATAATTCAATACATGAATGTGGATTCACTGGCAACGAAAAATAAAATGATGCCTAGATGAGTGCAAACATATAAGAAAACTTATTAATATGTCATAATTTTGCCTGCACTGAGCAGATCACCAAGTACAATACCTGTGCATGACAACATCTCTACCTAATACCTCGATCCTTGTAAAATATGCAAACATAAAATATGCCAGTGAATGCATACAGGAACACATACACAACAAAGGGCATAGATACATCGCACAGAGAGAGAGAGAGAGAGAGAGAGAGAGTCATACGTATCCAATGGATATAGTGTGGTTCAGTGAAGTAGCGGTAAATCCAGTTGAGAATGTATAAAGCTCGGTATGCACTGCAGAAATAGTTGAGCACGTCAATAGAAACACCAACCAATATATCATAAAACACCATTAGCATTGATAAAATATTCTACGTAACATGTGGCATTAGAAAATAGTTTTGGATGACACCACTGCAAAGGATTTCTTTGCAAAATATCCCAAAAATAAAAGAAAAGGGAATAAACTTGTAGAAAGAATCTTTACCCAAGAAATAAATGCCAATTTGCATGGCTATGTATTAGGCAACTAAAGAAACAAAAAAAAAATTGATATGGCAAGGTGAATCAAAAGTTTGTTTAGAAAATATATACCCAAGAAGTAACACATATTGGCCGGTCAAGTTGTCAATGTTTCTTGTTCTCTGCAACAGCACAAGCTGAGGAAGTATAGCAACGGCTTCTAAATATAATGAAAATGTCCACAAGACCTGATCCACATTATCATATCCCATATAAGAAAATAATGAAAGATGAAGCAGAAAGATGTAAAGACAGTCGAACAGTTTGAATTTGTACTTAGCAGTGAGGGGTACCAAATACGAATAAAAAGAAACTAAAAAACTATGCAAACGAACCTCCATAAAGGTGAATTTCTCATTGATTATTAGGGCAAAGAACACACATGGCAGCAAAAGAAAAACATGGCGGAAGGTGTCGTGGTCTTTATCATAGGACCTACGAACAATCTTGTGCTCCCTAATGTACCAAACAATTGAAAATGAACTCCCCAGGAATATCAACTTCATGACGGTATTATACAGAGATATAAAATCCGTGAAAATGTCCAGGTAGCGAGCAGCGAAAACGATGGCATAGAGTTCTTGAGTCTTCAAAGAAATACCTAAACACAATGAAACACATCAACAAATAATGTTGCTAGTACTAATAACCAAATAAACAACCCGAAAAAAGGGCCATATCTGAATATCTCAGATCGAGAAAAATGCAACAGCAACCAATCCCCTATAACCCAAATACTCAATGCTAACAAAAATTCAAGTTAAGCCCTCATTCTAAATTATCAAAAAGCACAACATTCTGGATTTTTACCACTGTCAGCTGGATTATACAAGTTCGAACTCAGAACCCAAATGCTCTTTTGAGCAAAAACCAAACTTCAAAGGCCTAAATACACGATTAAACGCAATTTAATACACGATTACACGATAAATGAATAAAAACTTCACTTCTCAACTGGGTTCAATTCAAAACAGAATTTAAATGCAGCTAACACGAAATTACATTGCTTGCAAAGCATTTAAATTATAAACAAAAATGCAGAGAGGTAAAATATAAAAAAAAGGGGAAATGGCGGTACCGGCGCACGATTTGATAGTATGGATCTTGAGTAGCAAGACGAGGACGCTGGCCAGGTGGGTCATGTCGCCCGCTAATCTGAATATATTCATTTTTGCTGGATCCGAGTGACGCGTTTGTCTTCGGATCTCTCTGGTTTAGCTTGTGAAATGAAATGGGTTTACTGTTTGCTTCTCCTGCCAATCGGTGTCGAAGGGCGCAGAGAGATACAGCAGCTGCGTTCAATCTTTTGGGTTTTTTTGAGCTTCTGGTTTCAGTGACAAAATCTCAGCGGGTAGATCTGTTTGCACGACTTCCATCTTCTGCTTCAGTCTTTGAACTTGGGCCTCGTAATCTTAAACGGGCTTTTGCTACAGTCATGGGTCTTATGACTCTTTTGGGCCTTTTTTTCCAAAAGCCCCGCACCCCCTGATAAAAAATAAATTACAAGTAAGTAAATTAATCGACAAAATGCCAATACGTTTTGTTAGCGATAATGATACTACCGTTACAAATCACATATTGCTAGTATGCTCCCATTCTGTATCTATACTAATCAATCAACTTCCTCCAAATAATTCTTATGAAAAAACTAACTTTTAACTGTAAGTGCATGAATATAAGTTCTAATTGACCCTTATGCCTTTTCGAATATTATACTATTAAAATGACAGAAAGCATAAATGGAGGTTCATGAAAATGTTATCAAAATCAAAATTATCAAATGATGTAGTGTCAACAATCAAACGAAATTATCATATGGTCTGGGTTTGGCCTTATGTCCCTCTTGACATATTGTATTTCTTCTTGTTTATCAATAAATTCTCCTCAAAGTCTCTTCCCATGATAGCAATGCTGGAGTGGGACGAACTTTGTGGCCAAATTTAAAATAAAATAAAAAAAACACGCACAAGTGTCAACAATCAAACGAAACTATTAAAAAGAATTGAAAGAAAAAAAAATCAATGAATTCTATGACTTGGACAAAGTGAACGGTTGGACACACAATAAAGACAAAAGTGTGAAAAATTGGGGCACACAATAAGGACAAAAGTGTGAAGCTTCATGCCTTGGCATTTACCATGTTATATAATGAAAGAATAATTCTCTAGACATCCAAATAACACCAAGTAAATAGGATATAGATGTATTTTATGTATTAATATATAGGTCGCCAAATGCCATGTCACATATGCAACGTCAATAATTTAATAAGATATATGTAAAAGATAGAAAAAATAATTTATGATCGAACCAACACATAAAATTTCTACGCCACGATAATAGTTTGATTCTCACTATTTCATCGCACAATAAAAGATATTTGAAACTTCATAACGGAATTCACATAACGAAATTCAATAGCACATGCCTTTTTTTTTATCCCAACACAGACAATGCACATTTTTTCTCCTTTTTTCTCCATTTTTTCTCCTAACACGCACCATAAGAGGCACTTACATGAAAAATCTAATAACTTTACGTGTTATATGGTATGAAATTCGCCACATGTTTTCTACTACTATGCAAATGCAGCGCAATCACCAACTGTCAGATCTATACAAGAAAATGGAAATCGAGTATCACGGCATAAAACTAAATTTCAACATCAAATCTTAGGGCGGATGACCCTAAGAATTTTAAACAAAGACTTAAAAATATTAGTCACCATGAGACAAGTTTTAAGAAGAAAGAAAAAACTAAAGTTAATATTTAGTGAGGCTAATCCCAGGAGTAACGGACTTGGCGGGTCCACTTGGAATAGTATCTTATCCAGATCACATTAGATTTTAAGAATAATTTAATCGTGTCTATTCATCAGTTATTATGCGGTTAGAAATTATTTGAATTATTTTTATTTAAAATTGAACACAAACGGTATCTAATAAAAACTAATCTAAAGGTGTACAATTAACAAATACGAGGATCCGAGAGGATCACTCATCCGACTATATATCAAAACTTCCATATACAAGAGAGAGAGAGAGCAGGAGAGAGAAAGACGGTCTCTGGTGAGAGAGGGTTGGTTGCTTTTTACTTCGTCTCCATAGATAGATAGCACGCATCTCAAGCAGTCACAGAGAGTGAAAAATGCTAATATATATACTCAGCAAATCGGTCTCCGTGTAACGGCTACTTTTGGTGAGAGAAGTTGAGAGAGATAGCAAAGAGGCTCTGGCATTTGGGCGACGACGGTTGAGTTGCTGCTGCTGCTTCATAAATGGATTACAATAATGACAAGTAAATATAAAGACCCTTCTTTCTGTCGTTCTGGCTTCTGGGTTCTTTCGGATTTTTTTTTTTTGGTGATAAAAGTGTTGATTTTTTGTGGGTTTTGGGATTGTTGTGGCAATGTAGCTGGAATATTGATTTGGATGATTGAATGATGGTTCTGTGAATTGGATTTGCTTCAATTTTTGGGGTATTTAATTATTTGGAGATGATATGAGGATGATGTGGGCTCTCTGATTTTACTTGGCGGGTCATTATTTTGTGCTTTAGCTTAATTTCTTGTTGTATGGCTTAAGCAAAATGCCCAAATGTAGATTATCATATCCTGCTAGTATATCTGTGTTTATACTTCCAGATCCTTATTGCAGAAGAATCCCTCTATTGATACATGTTTAGCATCCTAGCAGTGGATCATATGTTTCTTTAGTAGTCTTCTTTTTCGGGTTTACGGTCACTTTCTCATTTGGGGCGAAGTATATTTGTTTGGTTTCTGCTTATTGTTTGGTCACATTTCCATTTAGCATTGTTTTCAATCGGCAGTTCACTGATTACATTGCTCTTTTAGTTATTGATTTGATTCATTCCAACTATGTTGAATCTACCAGCATTGACAGAAAGTAAAAAATAAGGAATGATTCAAAGTGTAGATTCTACAAGGACATTAACTAAATATGCTGCTTATGTAGTCTTGGAGCCTGAGCTTGTTGTATACATTGTGCAAACGTTCCACTGTGGCTCATCCTTTGAGATGGTTGCAGTTTGCGGTTTTCGGTTCAGTAAGTTGAAGATACGAGTACTTATGTCTGACATCATTTTGCTTTCCTTTCTATTGTGTGAAATGATAATAGTGAGCACTGGAATTGGAAAAGGAATAATCAGCGTGCCCAAAAGGACTCGAATCATGGTAGTGTTCTCACCACAGTTCGTAATTTGCTAATATATTGCTATACGAGGATGAAGTTAGTGATTTCTTGCTTGGTACTATTATTTTGAGCAGACGTGTCTGAATGCATGTGGAAGGGAGTGCCACAGAACGAAGAAGACATTTCCTACATGTTCGATGATGAAACAACACCAGTTAAGGCTTGTGGGGATTTGGCATATCATGTTAACTTTAGAGGTTAGGCTTCCTTGTTATTTTCCGTCCTCATTGTTCTTGGCATTTTCTTGCTTTTTGTGCATGCGCAATTCAGAAACATTGCTTTATTGTTTGTGTTTTGATATCAAAGATGTGGATTTCAGATAATAGGACCCAGGAACCAGAAGCAGAAGAACAGTCTTTCTCACAAATAAAGAGGCGCCGGATGCTACAATTTGACACTCATGATTTAGATCCTTCCCTTTCATGTGACGAGTTGTCTTCTTCATTCTTGAATACAAGTGTATGTGCTGGGTAGTTCTTTCTTGTCTGAATTATCACATCTATAAGGAACGCTGTATTGTTCAACGGCTGCTTGACAAACTACTTTTGAATTTGCAGCACGAATCAGTTAATGCATAGTCTTTTCTATCTCAATGCTACTGCATTGCAATGGTGATATGGGTGTTCAGTAGGAAGATGATTTTTGCATTATATCTGCTACTCATTTGAAGTAGGCAATTCAAATTGGCGTGTTTCATATGTTATTTCTTATGCCAGCCTTGAGTAACAATGTTGACAGGGCTGCAGTTTCTCTAGTAGTCTAGCTTTGGGTTTTACTTTGATAAGGGAGTTTCAAGTTGTATTGTCTGCAGTAAGAAGTCAGAAGACTCAGAACTTGATTTTTTCCTTGGAGACAGGATTTCAGTACATAAACAGCATATGACATGTGCCATGTATTTATCTAATTTTTCTGCTCTATATATAGGAGAAGGCAGATTCAATTGAAGAGGCTTTTTCTGAAGCGTCGCAATGGGTATCAGGGTTTGCAGGTTTGTCTCTTCCAGAATATGTTTTACTAAATTTACTTGAATGTTTATGCCTAGGGTTTTCCTGATAATCATATTGTTTATGTTAGGAAATCCATCTTCATCTGGCTTTGAGGGCCTGGATCCATCACCTGATGAGTGGATTGCTGAATGCTTCAACTATACTGATATGCATTTCAGCCCTGATGAGTTGTATGCTTCAGGGGGCTCTCTATTTTTAAGTTTTGTAAAAATCATTTAGTAATTTACTATAATCTGATTGCTTCATCATTTGATACTCAGGAATTTCTCAGGGGCATCGGATGTTCAACTTGACATCACAAGTAAATTACATTGGTTCTTTCCATTAAATTTGTACTTTAGTCCTTGTTCCCTTATACCCTTATCCGTCAATTAGTTCTAAGTCTACAAGTTCAATTCCCTATTGCAGAGCTCTGTGATCTCCAACCTGAGCATGAAGTGAATGTGGTTCAACAACGAGTTACCCAAACACCTCGAAATGTTATTTTTAAAGGTACTGTCATGTTATTGACATTGTTTGTTTCCTGTATCGAATGTACTCGTTATCAGCTCCCTGTCCTTCTTAGGTCATATTGTGAGCAGGAACACCAGGATTCTTTGTCTGGATCATCACAAACTGCATATATATATATGTTGAAATGAAAATTAATCCTCAACGTTCTCTGTTTGTGTTCATAGGTAGGAAGTCTTACATTCGGACTCCCACTAAGCTAGCTACTTCTGTGGCATATCCATTTGCCTTCATTAAACCCTCTGGCGCCCATGGAGATGTAACTCTGAAGGACATAAACCAGCGGATCCGCACTCCACCACCTTCAAAATCAAAGCAAAAGCAGGAAGACCCTGCTGCTTACCCCACTTCGGCCTTTTCAGGGAAGCCTGTCGTTGGAAAAACTAAAATCCGCACTGAAGGAGGGACAGGCAGCATTACAATTATGAGAACCAAAGGCTAAGAGGCAGTAGAGAAGTGGTACTCCCAACTTCCCATCTTGCTGCCCTTCTGCTTTCCCTATTTTTGTGGGATGATTTTCCCTGTAATATTCTTGGGCAGTCAGGTACAGAAGTAAACTTCATTTTTTTTCTTTCTTTTGGGTTGTTCTCGGAAATCATAAGTCACGGCAAAGTGCTTATGTTTCCAAGTGTCTCTAGCTGTCAAATAGTAGCGGTTCTATACATTGTATGACTGAGAATCTCAAAAGTCTACTAGGTACTCGTTTATTTCGGTTTCTCAAAAACCTTGGTAATCATTTCAGGAACATAATACACATTGTGTATTTCGATTTATGTCTGAATCTGAAAGGTGTTAAGATGAAATTAAAAGTGTAGACTTTATCTCGTTTACATGTTCATTAACTTCATTTCGCCTAAACCTCTCTTTGTAGTTTGTATAGTATTCACGCGTATACTGGCAGAGATTCTTAGCTATCCCTGTCTGTATATCTCTGTGCATGGTTCTCTCCCTTTGCACAAGAGAGATAGACAGACGGAAATATACATCCGCTAACAAGGGCCACAGAGACATTTCACTTGATCTCCTTGGGGAATTAAAACAAAGAGGGTAGAGCATGCTTGCTTGTGGCAGGCTTTTAAAGGGGAAGGGGAAAAGGCAAATCATTGTTGAAACTGAAAAGCAGACACCCACCCACGCTGGTATTCTGTATCAACTTCACATGCTTTAAAATTTAAATGGGTTAAAAAGTGTCAGGTGATTTACTTTAAAATTAGGACTCATTGGTCTACTTAATTAGCCAAAATTAAAGGGATAATAGGAGAATAAATAGAAGAGAAGTGGTTTGGCTCCCACTTGGTGACGGAGAATATTTTTGGGTATTCTTTGAAATGAGAGTGAAATTTTGCCTAATTTTGACCAAACCAGTCAATATTAAAATGGCTTAATTACTCAGTTGCCATTTGATGTGTTTTCGGGTCTCATGAAAATTGTTGTCCCAACTTTTCCTTTAGATTTTGTTTTTGTGTCCCACGTAATCACATACCGTTAAGTATGTTAACTTTTCCGTTAAAAATGCTAATGTAGCATGTGTGGGATCCAATGCTTTGCTTTTGTGCATGCCATGTGAAAAAAGACCGAAAAATTATTTTGTATAATTGACGGAGGCATATGAAAATGTGGGACACAAAAATATGATTTAGAGACAACTTGAATATCACTTGTAAAATGCAAAGTGGGACTCAAAAGCACTCGAGTAACTGAGTAGTTAAGTCTATTAAAATAACATTTCAGTCTATAAATATCGTTCACTAATCCAATTACCATTAGATTTAGATCTAGCTTGGATTCAAAGGCATGCCAAGATCTACCTCAAATCATTTGGAAATGCATTGATGTTGGCATCTCTCAATAATCTAGTATGAAAAATTAAGCCAAATTTAACTAAATGGGTGATTGTCTAGTACGTTTTGACACCCCGACTTGGTTATTAAGAGCATTTACATTGTTGTCGAATAAACGTGCATGTGTCTGATTTTATTCTTTCTTAATATCTTGTATAGCCAGTCATTACTATGATTTTGTGGTATTCCTCTTCACTTGTAAGTGAAAGGTTTTAGGTTCGAATCTCGTGGATAACGAATTTGATACCAAATTATGTTGCTCATTATATGGTTTATTTGAACTCTCCCTCCCCTTAATGTAAAATATATCGTTGTACTAAAAAAAAAAAAAATATATATATATATATATATATATATATATATCTTGTATAAGCTGTTTAATAGGAACTGTAACCCAATCTAGCCCAACAAAAAATAAATGTAACATAACTTCCAACCTATCTTAATAACCAGCCTCCAAGCCCAACCCCCATATCACATGGTCATTGTCAAATTTTTTTTTGCATTTTTTGTTTATAAAACGATATTATTTACATTAAAGATGATGGATAAACTTAGCCTCATAACGAGCTAGTAATATTGTGGTTCAAATTGAATCTAAGATCTCTTGTTTACAAATAAAGAAAAATACCACTAAATCGCTGTCATAAATTTCAACATTTTTAAGTTTAGTCAAATTTTAGAAAACATTTCCTCCCAACTAAAAAATAAAAAGTTGGCACTCAAACGGATTTTATTTAGTAATTTCGACATATTTACACGGAGTCCAACAGAAAACAAATCATTGAGAAAGACATAGTGACTAATATATTGGCCAAACTGGTTTATTTTTACCTTAAAATACATTTGGTTTGAATTTACGTAAATAATTTCTCTAAATACAAAGCATTTGTTAAGCACCTCTCACAATATTCAATGACTATGGTTTGGTTTCATGTCACTTGTGTAACACCTCAAACAAAATATAAAACTATTTAAAATTTGGTTGCAACCAAAGAGCTTTGCTCTCTTATACATAAAAATTACGACAGAAAACAGTTAAAATTCAATTAAACGAGATTTAATTAAATTTCAATTGTTCATTCGTAAAAAATATGTAAAATAAAAAATTTCCGGTAATTTAAATTAATTCGGCATGAAAGCTGCCCAAATCAAACAACCATACCGAAATTTCCTTCGCAACTTCGGACCCGTCTCAATATGTCCCACCATACTTAACATGGCCAAACGCGTGCTTTCATTGGCGGGTCTCGGTTAAAATCCGCTGCCCTATTTTGTCCGAACCAGGATATTTGGGATTGCGTGGGACAGAACAGGACAGGATAAAAAGCAGCAACTTTTGCCTCCAAAAACACATAAACCTCCATGCCACGTCACCATCAGAATTCAGAAATATTCCTTTATTCCGTATCTTTATACCTTCCCCTATATATCTTCGTGCTCCAATGGCGGACGAGAACTAAGGCAATGCGTTTGCTTCCCCAATAGAAATGGCATTTTCTTCGTGCTCCTCCGTTCCTGCAGTAGCTGCGATAACGTGTTTGATTGCGGTTGTCGTGGGTTGTTATTGGCCCGTTGAGGCCCGAATTCCCACCACCTTGGACGGCCCGTTCGAGCCCCTCACCGTCCCCTTTGATCCCAGTCTGCGCGGCAACGCCGTCGATTTGCCGGACGACGATCAGCGGGTCCGTCGCCGGGTTAAGGGGTTTAAACCCGAGCAGATTTCCGTCTCGCTCTCCGCTGATTACGACTCCGTTTGGATCTCCTGGATAACAGGTTTTGATATATTTTTTTTTTGGTGCTGGTGTTTAAAGCGGTATGCTTTTTCTGTAAATGCAATTTCAGGATTTGAGAATTGGGATTTTTCATTTTTTGGGTTTGGTTAATTGGGGCTGTTTGAAACTGCTGCTGGTAGAAAGCACTTCCTGGTAATTGAAAGTGCTTCCGACAACCTTTGACATAAAAACTCGAATTCGTTTTGGATGATAGAAGCACTTTTCTTGGTTGTGTTATTAATAAAAGCACTTATGAGCAGAAGTACTTCCTATAGAAGCAATCGCATACAGGGCCCGGGTTTGTTAGTAAAAGCTTTAAGCTTTTTTAGCATTTGAGAATGGGATTTTAGTATTTTTGGGTTTGGCCAATTGAGTTTGATTTTCATGGATTGTTGTTGCAGGGGAGTATCAGATTGGAGACAAGATAAAGCCATTGGACCCCAAAAGTGTGGCAAGCGTTGTTCGTTATGGGAAGCTGAGATATCCACCAACACATGAAGCCACAGGGTATTCTCTTGTTTACAATCAGCTCTACCCTTTTGAAGGGCTCCAAAATTACACTTCCGGAATTATCCACCATGTTCGTCTCACAGGTTTGATTTTGTTCGCTTCTTATTTTGCTTCAAAGTTTTTGATGGAGAATTACAAAGTTGGGTTTGGCTGAAATGACTGAACTTTTAAACGCCCCAAACATAAGTTGTGATGGAGATGTGGTTCTTCGGTTATGTTGGTGATCTAGTTGTTGTTTTGATGTAGGGTTGAAACCGAATACACTGTACTTTTATCGATGTGGGGATCCTTCTATACCTGCAATGAGCGAAATCCACCATTTCAGGACCATGCCAGTTTCAGGTCCTCGGAGCTACCCAGAGAGAATAGCAGTTGTGGGAGACCTTGGCCTTACATACAACACAACTACCACAATAAGTCACTTGACAAGTAATAATCCTGATCTTGTTCTGTTGATTGGTGATGTTACTTATGCAAACCTCTACCTCACAAATGGAACTGGCTCTGACTGCTATTCTTGCTCATTTCCAAACTCTCCGATACCTGAGACCTATCAGCCTCGATGGGATTACTGGGGAAGGTTAAAACATAAATTGCTTTATTTCTATGCACGCAATGGCTGCTGTAAATTATGGCATAGAACTTGTTTTCTTATGTTGTCATTGCTGGATAATTTGTGTAGGTATATGCAGAGTTTAGTGTCCAAAGTTCCGTTAATGGTTGTTGAAGGGAACCATGAAATAGAAGAACAGGCTGAAAATAAGACTTTTGAGGCTTATAGTTCTCGGTTTGCATTCCCATCTGAAGAAAGCGGATCTTCGTCCACATTCTACTACTCATTTAATGCAGGGGGGATTCATTTTATCATGCTTGGAGCCTACACTGACTTTAGCAAATCAGGTAATTAAAGTTTGCCTAATTTTTGAGTTTATTCCTTGCCTAAATATTCCTATTTTTGCAATTCTTTTTCTTTACAAGTCATTTCTTTATTGTTTCTATCCCCATTAAATCAGTGATCACTTTGCCTACAGGGAAACAATACAAGTGGCTGGAGCAAGATTTGGCTAATGTGGACAGATCCATAACTCCCTGGTTGGTAGCTACTTGGCATCCTCCCTGGTATAGTACCTACGAGGCGCATTACAGAGAGGCAGAATGTATGAGGTTGGAAATGGAAGAGCTACTGTACTCTTATGGTGTTGATATAGTGTTCAATGGACATGTAAGTAACGATAACCACCAATGATTGTCACAATCTTTGATAGGTAACAGGTTTCTTTCTTATAGCCGGAAACCATGTGGAAGAAGTGGTATAAGGGTCCTTCGACCGAGGCTTTCTTGCATACCAGTAATCAGATAGTGATAGAAAAAAAGAAGGAACTGCAGTTTATGCTTTGAACTTTTGAGAAAACAAATTTAATATGAAATTAATTGGTACTTGGTTCCCTCACTGCTAAAACACATAATACAAATCTTATTTGAAACGCTATCAGAAACAATGACCATATCTTGAAACTCGTATCACAGCAATACCATTTGGTTCCGATCCCAAGCATGTTTTTATTCAGTTGTCCTTAGCGTCTATGAATGATGAACAATTTTCCTCATTGTAACTAAATATCTTTTTGCTTTAAAGTGCACTGAATTTTCTTCTGTTTTCTTGAATAAAATAATAGGTTCATGCCTACGAGAGATCGAATCGA